CGTGACTGGCACCCTACACCCGCAGAGCTCCAGAAGATCAAGTCCGCTTCCTCCATCAGAAAGTCACTCCTCAACCGATCCTCCTCCAGGAACTTCGAGAGAGCCTCCCTCAGGTCATCTGGAAGCGTAAAATCGGACGTTCACAGCGTAGATAAGAGTTATCTGAACCGCAGTATTCGGGGATCAATATCTAGTCGCACTTCATCTTCCAAGAGTCCCCTGACACCACCTGTCAGGCAGGGTGTCAACCATAATGGGAATGTCAGGGCACAGAGATCCAGAGGGGGACATTCTTCCTCTCAGTCGTCGTCTGCAGCAGGAAGCTCCGTCGAGGACCTCGGCGCGACGTATGTGTTTACCGATTTCAACAGAGGAAGTCAGGCGGACATCGATAGGATTTTGAGAACCTCTCCCTCTACTCCCGCTCAAAATTCTAGCATCGCTAGATATCATCCTCTTCCGGCCATTAGCGCAACGCCGTCGACAAGAACCGACAATAACATAATTCCCGACGCAACGCCGTCGACAAGAACCGACAATAACATAATTCCCGACTTCGAACCTCCTCCTTTGGTCCGAAGTAGAACTTTTGATGTGATTGACACGAAGATGATGAACTTGGCGGTGGTGGACGGCGTTGGTGATGACGGCGGAGACTCGAGGGCAGACACTCAGACCCCAACACGAACAGTTACAGTTAGTATAGAAGGCAAACCCTTAGCCGAGTTCCTCTTGCACGCGAGAGACGGACTCCTCAGGTCTCGACCAGGTACACGCTACGGAAGGTCCGAACCTGCAGAAAGTTCAAACTCGGTGCTTCAACCTGATGTGAACTACGACTTCGGAAAGCTGATGAGATGTCCTTCTCGCGAGCATCAGCTTGGCAATGACAGTGGTATTAGTGAAGAGGAAGATAACTCGGAGGACGAAACTGATCCCTATAAACACGATCCTGTAGAAAGGTTCCCACGAAAAGAGACTAACGATAGTAGTGATCTAACTGAACCTATCGAAAGCTTTACGGAAGAAAGTTGTGCGAGTGAAGTGAATGACATAGAAAGCTTCGAGCAAGACAAATCTACTAACAGTGACAATACCAGTGAACTTCCAGGAAGTTCGGCGCTAGAAAAGGACGATGGAGAATCCTCGATAGAAAGACCTGAGCCGGACGATAACATGGAGGCTAATGGATCTCCTGAGAGGTCAGTGCCAGGAGGAGCGGGCGAAGCAGCAACAGGAGAAGCGGGCAAGGCAGCAACAGGAGGAGTGGACGAAGCAGCAACAGGAGGAGCGGGCGAGGCAGCAACAGGAGGAGCGGGCGAGGCAGCAACAGGAGGCGGCTCGAGCCAGGAGGTCGAGCAAGGGGAGGACATCATTGTCTACTTCAAGCTACCCGATGACTCGCTGGTGCTGGTGTCGAGTCCGCGCAGCCAGACGCTAGCGGAGCTGCTGCAGGTGGTGGAGAACACCAGGATGGGGGAGAGGCGTCTGGTGGTGGCTCAGGACGGGCTGGAACAGACAGACCTCACCAAGACCCTGGTCGAACTGGGCATCACCGACAACACAACACTTTACCTCTTGAACGGCTGACAACCGCGCCACTCGGCAGTGATGACACCTGCGGGAGGCAGCAGGAGAGGCATCGTACCGGAACTAACAACTATAGATTGATTGATGAAGATTAAGCCACCCAAAAGGTGGCATGGGCATGAATAGCCCGTAAGTGGTGGCCCTTTTGAGCCATTACCAGTATCAAGAGCTGATACTGGAGATCTGTGGAGGTGCGACTGCGCCCTGCGTGACGGGAGATGTCTCCCGGACCAAATGGTGACCAGATGGTGGTCTGAATGCGGAAACCTGAATGACCACTACTTACGGGCTATTCATGCCCGTGCCACCTCTTGGGTGGCCTAATCTCCATCAATCAATCAATCTGAACAACCACGCTGCCCTTCCAGCTGTCAAAATAACAGATAAATATTGACCAACACTTTTAGTAAATTTTGATAAATTTACTATCGACTGTCAGAGGTTAGGCTGTTGTTCCTAAATAAAATAGGAATATCTTTTGTCATAGAGGTCAATATCTCTTGACGGGAATAGGATATATTTGCATAAATATATCAATGAAGATATTGAACACATCCACAAGGGCCGTGATGGGGGTTCGAACCTGTACGTTTGGTGTTCCCTGACACGATCTATCAAGTTACTGTGATTTCTGTGTGTAATGAAGATACTGATAATTGTGTTTATAATATTATTAATATTATATTATTATTATTAATAACAACATGAAGAATAACAATAAAGAGGGGAAATTGTTCGTACTTGTGGGGATAATTATTATTTGTTTTTATTGAAGATAATTGATTCTCGTAGTAAAGTGTATGTCTTGAGTGTGTTGTCTTCAGGTCAAGACACACTTTGGGTCGTTGGTAATGAAGATATTGTATATATGATATGGACAATTAGCCGTTGTTGGTTAATGATATTATATGAGTTTTTATATTTCCTTTTTTCCTTAATGAAGAAGCCTAAGACATGATTTTTTAGAATTTCTAAGGTTTTATTGGTTATATTTATTTGTTTTTTTTTAACAGTTTCAGATAGATATTATCTGGTATCTACTTACTCTTTCCTTCGCTTATCTACGCTTCTTCTTCTTGGTCTTATCTCTCTCTCTCTCTCTCTCTCTCTCTCTCTCTCTCTCTCTCTCTCTCTCTCTCTCTCTCTCTCTCTCTCTCTCTCTCTCTCTCTCTCTCTCTCTCTCTCTCTCTCTCTCTCTCTCTCTCTCTCTCTCTCTCTCTCTCTCTCTCTCTCTCTCTCTCTCTCTCTCTCTCTCTCTCCTTTAATTTTTCCATAACCGCATACTCACAAAATATATTTTCTATGACTACTGACATATACATCAGAGGCGCCGTAAGTGCTGTGAACCATACGGAAATAAAGTTTATGTCTTTGTTGCAGTTTGAATAACCTTCAGAAGATAATGAATTAGTAACATGAACTAACAAATCTATGACTAATGAAGCCAGGACAAAATGGCTAAGTAAGTCACAGCAAGAAACCGTTGATGGCGAGGCTGAGTGTCCAGCCTGTATCATGTGTCCAGCCTGTATCATGTGTCCAGCCTGTATCATGTGTCCAGCCACCCTCGGGTAACCATCCAATCCACTACCGATTCTTTTTCCCCATAATTAATCTCTGCCTCTTCACAATCATCACCCTCTTATTCTCCACAATCATCGCCCTGTATCTCTTCCCACTCAACGCCCTCTGTCTCGTCCAAATCATCGCCCTAATGTCTCTTCCCAATCATCATCACCCTCTGTCTTTCCCAGTTATCATCCTCTGTCCCTCCCCAAGCCACGCGCCATCCTGTCTAAAAGACAGATGTTTACTAGCCTCTAGTCATCAATCTTCCTTTCAGCGGGACGAACACATGTGAAAACAGTGATACCTTACCTTGAGGTGCTTCCGGGGCTTAGCGTCCCCGCGGCCCGGTCGTCGACCAGGCCTCCTGGTTGATGGTTATAAGGGTTGTTAAATTCAATACAGTATTCTAAATAAATCATTAATAGCATAATAAAGAGAATAATAACTTTCATGGAAAACCTCAGACAACACGAGGAGGCCGAGATCAGACGTCGCGTCTGATCTCAGTCGCACTGACCCTGTGACTGCTCCGCCGCGTGAACCACGGGCCTGGAGAAGACCGTGAGCCGGCGTCCAGTATGGTGTAATATGCTGTTGCTCCAGCGTCCACGCTCCCAGCAGTGACCCCCGAGGTCAACAAGACGCTAGACGAGGGGTGTCCACCCTCCCGTTAAGGGCGCCAAGGTCAAGAAAATGTTTTACAAATGCGTCCACCCTCTTGATGAGGACCCGAGGGACATTGGCGCGTGTTAGCAGGGTCTGTCTCGCGTGTTAGCGGGATCTGTCTCACGTATTAGCGGGGTCTGTCTCTCATAAACCCAATGTACTTTCCTGTATATGAATAAATAAATATATAAGTTAGCCTAAAAATATGTCTATTTTCTTTAATACCCATAGAAAACAAGCGTCGTTTGTGATTAACTTATATATATATCGAGATCCGACCCCATGGGGTGTATCCATTCACGTAATCACCCACAATTGTCTGCCTCTACTATTGTTAAAATTTGTGAGATAAAATTGTAATTACTTTTGCAGGTCAAAATCCAGTTGGAACAAAAATCATCAGGAAAAAGGGGGCGGGGGGATGAACGTCTGACAAGCAGCCGGTTTCTTGTCCCCGTCGAGGCCAAGATAGATAATGACCCCCTCGGGTAAATTCTAGTAAATTAAAGATACCCTAAACTGAACAAATCCACAAGTTGACCAGACCACACACTAGAAATTGAAGGGACGACGACGTTTCGGTCCGTCCTGGATCATTCTCAAGTCGATTGTGATGGGGAGGTAGGGACAGGCATTAAATAGGCAAGAGAGAGCTGAGGAGGAATTCGACTTGAGAATGGTCCAGGACGGACCGAAACGTCGTCGTCCCTTCAATTTCTAGTGTGTGGTCTGGTCAACATACTTCAGCCACGTTTTTGTGACTCATCGCCTGCAAATCCACAAGGGCCGTGGCGAGGATTCGAACCTGCGTCCAAGAGAATCCCAGACGCTGCCTTAATCAGCTGAGTTACTGTGATTTCTGTGTGTGATACCCTTAACTACATCACAGTAAATCCAGCACTTAGTGAGTTAACATTAGTTTTTATTTCTGTTCAGGTTTAATGTATAAATCTTGGTGTTCATTAAGCTTGATGGCCTAAATAATTCGCGAGTGCTTGTGGCCATTAATTAACACAAAACCAATCAAGACACAGCCAAGTCATGCCCGAAACGCTTTGCGTAATAGTGGCTTTAGGCATTGTATGTACTAGCTCTACCTATAAGTCAAACAATCCTTGTAAATATTTATTGTATGTATGTACCTTACCTAAATAAAATTGTATTGTATTGTATTGTTATAAGTAAAGAATAAAAATAATATTTTTTTATTTAATATTTAATATTAAAATGATTGAAGATTAAATTCAATTTATTTGAAAGCTTTAATTAAAAAGGTTTTTATTAAAAACAAGAGGAAGGGACAATTGTACAGAAAATAGTTACACATACAAAAGAAACCATTAATAAGACAAGCGTTTGGAGCCAAACTTAGAATAATTTAGATAAAACATTTGTTAAAGGAGTCAATAGGTAAAGAATTAATATTAAAAGAGAAGTAAGCACAAACAAGTGAAAATGTTTAAGAAACATTCAAGGTTTGTTAGTTTAGATTAGGTTGCATTACGTTTGGTTAAGTTAATACAGTATCTTATTGATGATAATGTGAAATATGGAATTCGAAAACTATTTCAGTTTACCCGAGAGTTTCGTTTACAGAAAACCACATTCTTCAAAGAAAACGTTTTCAGCGTACACTTTTATATATTTAAACCTTCGCTTTATAATACAATAAAATTAGACCTTGAGACTAATTTCCATTTAGGACAAAAGTTTCCCTGTCAGTTTACATGTAGACTATTACTGGAACCATAATATGCTTTCAGACCATCATAAATATCTATATAACTATCCAGGTGGTTTAAGCAGGGGTGTGGTTTCTCGTGGTAATGGAAGTGCTGTGAGGACTGGCTCAAATTGATGTTATAAGCTACCTGAGCCTAACCTAACCGAGGGCCCAGGAATAAAAAACGGGACATGGCGTCAATTGTGCGAGCCACTATGGTTTTTAGTACATTATTTGTTTGTCCTTTGAGAATTTATGCATAAAAATACGATGCACTATTCCAGAGAACGGGTTGATGCAACACCCCTAGTTGGAGGAAGCCCACTAAGTTGATTGATTGAATGATGAAGATTAAGCCACCCAAAAGGTGGCACGGGCATGAATAGCCCGTAAGTGGTGGCCCTTTTGAGCCATTACCAGTATCAAAAGCTGATACTGGAGATCTGTGGAGGTGCGACTGAACCCTGCGTGACGGGAGATGTCTCCCGTGACCCACTAAGTTGTTCATCCCGTCAATTAACATCATTCTCGAGAAAAAAAATGTTTAATTTACGTATATATATATTTATGTCAAGTGTAAAATAATTCAGATATAGATCGAGAGCGATAGACGTACCATTATCAAGGTGTCTATCAGACGGGTTAATGACAAAATCACGATTAGAATGTTCGCTCCAAACACTTTAAAGTAAATTCCTAATCAATTTCGATATCAATATTGTACTCACGTTCCTGCTGGCAGACCTTACTGAAGTATATGTTTCGAGTTTAATTTGGTTAGTACTGCTTGGATAAACACTAAATTATATCTTTTCATTACATTAAAACATTCGCGTACTTCCAATTTATGCAAATTAATATTTTTTCCTAACACCAAGTAGAATATCTCATCAAACTAAAAATTATATAATTTAAGCACATTATTGGTTAAAAAGGATCTATGTAGCACTTGTTCGCTAAGACATTTTTCAAGAAATCCGAGTGTAAGCTTTAAGACATGAGATTTCACACGGGCCGAGCAAAGATTAGAAACACAGGATCTAAGAGATGGGGTAAAGAGAAGAGACAATTAGAAATGAATTACAATTAGACAAGACAAGACAATTAGAATTACAATTAGACAACTAAGAGACAATTAGAAATGAATGTGACCCTGAATTTCCAGGGTCACATTCTAAATATATCAAAAAAAGTTTCTAAAACTGTTGGCATTCTTTCTAAGATCAGATATTATGTACCCCGCCCTGCCCTGGTTACTCTCTATTACTCCCTCATCTATCCATACCTCAACTATGGTATTTGTGCTTGGGGTTCTACTACCCAAAATCATTTACGTCCTCTCATTACCCAACACAAAGCTGCTATTAGGACAATAACCAACTCTGGCCCCAGACATCACTCGGTACCCTTACTCAAATCTCTGAATATGTTAGATATTAAGTCACTGCACATTCTCTCTTGTGTATTATACATATATAAAACGCTGAACTGTAATGCCAATCCTGACCTCAAAAGCTTCATTGAAGGTTGTAACAGAACCCATGAGCACCACACCAGGAATAAATACAGTTTTGATATTCCTAGAGTACGACTTAATCAAACTAGAAATGCTCTACAAATCAAGGGACCCAGAATGTGGAATGACCTTCCCAACCATGTTAAAGACTGTACCTCTCTCAACCAGTTTAAGATAAAAACTAAACAATACCTAATAAATTCCCTGTAACCCACCTCACTCCTTTATTGTCAACCCATGTCTGTTATTTTATTTTATTATTATTATTTTTTTTTTTTTAATCAACACTGTTTGTCAACCTATTGTATTTGTGCTGCTTTTTCAGTCATGTTCCCCCTTTTTTTTATCTTTATTTGAATTTGTTTTCAACACTTTTTATTCTTTATGCTCAATTAGTATTAAGTTCTAGATATTAATGTTTTTCTTGCCCGAAACGCATTGCGTAATAGTGGCTTTAGGCATTGTATGTACTAGCTCTATCTATATATCAATCCATTAATGTAACATCACTTGTATGTATGTACCTTACCTGAATAAACATATTTATTTTATTTATTTATTTAAATTGACGTGTGGTATCTACGGTATACAACAATGATAAAAAAAACGCTGCTATAAGTATGTAGAATATACACTGAAAATTGAATAGGTAAACAGCTTTGCGCTTTCACTATTTACAGACAGGTAAGTTATATCTGACCTGTGGTATTTTTAATTGAACCAGTCATCTCCTTAATTTCTGTATATATAAAAAATAAATGTATTTGTCTGCCCTGTTATATGTTCTTCATAGTTGCTTTTGTTGTTCCGGATTGTCCACTCAATGGTATATATATATTTTTTTCCACATATCTTTCTTTTTTTCGATAAGTGCCACTTAGGGACAGTATCATTAATGTAACGGAATGCTACGTTCCTTATTAAGAATGTTTTTAAGTGAGCTACAATTTCAATTAACATTTTAATCCACAGTCACGTTCGTGTATAAGCGTTCGTGCAGACGTCTCACGTATGTATGAGAGGATTCATAATACTCTGTGAGAGCCCGTGGGTGAGCCAGCACTCACTGAGAGGGGCGAGGCCGCTACGTGGCGACACACAGCGGTGGAAGCCATTAGCTCATGAGGTCGGCCAGGCTCACACAAGCAAATTACGATTCACAGCCTTTGTGCTGGGAAATAGGATGATGAGGCACCGTGGCGTGAGAGAGAAGGGTGATTATGCGGGGAGTGAGTCAGACACCAGTGGTTTGGTCCCACCCCCCTGCCTGCTCTCACGCACACGCGGATACACACCCACACGCACACGCGGATGCACACCCACACGCACACGCGGATACACACCCACACGCTCACACGGATACACTTCCACACGCATAGAAATGCACCCACACACACACACAGCAGATAGCGTTCGGAATTCGTATTAATATGAACCCGGGTTCGACTCAGGGTTCACATAATGCAAATTCTTTCGGCATTCTTTCATCTGATGCACCTGTTCAAAAGTAAATAGGCGGCAGGAAATTGGTCAGCTGTTGAGGGTTGTATCCATGGGAGAAATGTAGCACATATGATAAAGACTAATAGGTCGGGATCCAATACATTAGAAACCGACATTTAGAAATCCATCTTTGCTCAATCTTTGGCGGCTTTGTTTACAATTATTAAACAGTTAATGAGCTCCGAAGTACCAGGAGGCTGTTTATAACAACAACAATAGTTGATTGGCAAGTTTTCATGCTTGTAAACTGTTTAATAAATAACCAAAGCCCTTAGAGATTGAGGAATTATATATATAATATATATATATATATATATTATATATATATATATATATATATATATATATATATATATATATATATATATATATATATATATATATATATATATATAATATATATATATATATATATATATATATATATATATATATATATATATATATATATATATATATATATATATATATATATATATATATATATATATATATATATATATATATATATCAAGTAAACCCAAAACTAAACCAAAAGTTCTCCACAGCCACATTAGGAGGAAAACAACATTGAAGAAATAGGTAATCAAACTGAATTGCGAGGGGTAACTTGCACATTTTCGGGAGCCTGTAGCTGCCACATTGCCTAAGTGTCCAAGTATGTTTTATGTCTAACGCATGAAATAGGTGGGATATAAGAATAAGTCCTCATAATTAGACGACTGGAATTCCAAATACGCGCACAGCAACAATTCGCCGAAACATCCAACGGGTGACGAACTTGTTGGTGTGATCAATACGGGCGTAGCAAGCAGAACCAAGCAAGCACACGTCCCCCACTGTGGCGTGTCACCTCAGGGGATATTATGTCTACACTAAGGGTACGTATAGTCTCCCATAACCTCCTTTACAACCTCCCGGAAAATAATAAAACTCCAGCCATCAAGTATTCAATTCGGACATGTTCGAATTTGGCGGGCGGGGTGAGGAGGTATAGTGCGCATGTGCCAGGTACGAGGTCCTTCCCCACGCAATTTCCGGATTCCACCCCCGGCCAGACCGTCAGCAGGAACACAACAGTGGTGCCTGTCGGAGCTCGCGTCGCTCAGGTCCTCCTCCAGCGAGAGAGAATTAGCGTGTGATCGCCTGCCCTGCCTCTCCTCACACGAGAGCCATGTCTTCACTCATCGACGCAGGTAAGTAGAGGACCAGAGCGCTAGACACTCAGGTTATCAGGTTTAAAAAGGCGAGAAAATCATGAATTCCTTACAGGTGGTATTTCGGTGGATGACCAACTTTCTGGCGAGATCGATGCTTGGAACGTGAATTATTATTAAGTTAACGAAGTTAGTCCTTGATTTAGCTATAAATATTTTGCGCTGGAAACTAATGGAAAACGATAATTGTTATATAAATATTGTTTAAACGAAAGTTGCGTTTAATTAAGCTGAGGCAAATTGTCGCGCGCTCAATGATCACATTATCAAACTTAATTTTGAAGGCAACTGAGTTTTGATTTCCAAAAGTCAAGCTGAAAAATCATCAACACAGTTCAAGAAACACGAATTCCATAGGAAAATATACATATTTTCCCGAGAAAAAAAATTGGTGACGTGATCGATGAACACGACGCAGTTTTAAAATTTAATACCACAATTGTATTAGGCGTTTGATATAAATTATCGCAGAAAAGGGCGACTTTAGAAATAGCAAGATCGGTCTATGATATACATTTTATAGAAAACTGTAACTGCGTCGCTTTAACGTCCTCTCTGAGGAATTTGAAGGAATTTTAATCTATATGCTGTTTGAAGACTAAAGCAAAACAATAACAAAAAAGTCAGAGTCAACTCCTTACCAAATGGAACCAAAAATGTTAGACTGAAGTTATCTTTTCTGAATTTTAAAATCGTGACATAATCAGAGAATGCAATTATACAATTACATACAAACTAATCAAAAAATTGAAGCTAAACGAACAAAAAGCGTAGCTACTGCAAACATGCAAAGCAAAATTTTAATATATATATTCAAATAAAGGTAATAATGTCTTGGGGGTGAGAGACGGGCGGTCACTTCAAGTAATCAATGACCACAATAGGGGGCGCCGCGCCCTTGACATACTTCGCCTCTGCATATACCCCTCAAAACCTTGAAAATATATGATAACATTCCTAAGTTTAACATTCATCGTATACGTCTATATACAATGTTGGCGTCACAAATAACTTAAACAACAGTTCTATTATACAGATAATTTAAATGTAGTTTAATTTATTTAAAACTAATGTATATAAATGTCAGGTTAGTTTAAATTTATATAAATATCAACTTTTATTTGTTTTTTATAAAAGTCAGTCTATATAAAGATTATACATATGTCCGCTTAAATTAAGTTATATAATTGCTAACACATTAAGTTACATAAATGTCATCCTATATTAAGTTACATAAAGTCAGATAATATTAAGTTATACTAATATCATCCTATATTTATTTTACATAAATGTCAGCCTACATTAAGTTGATATATAAAAGTCAGTCAATATTAAGTTATATATATATATATATATATATATATATATATATGCCAGCCTGTATTAAGTTCGCATTAATGTCAGCCTATATTAAGTTTATGTAAATACGAAATCGTCATCAAGCCTAAGTGTGCTTTAGTCAGCTGTCAGGAGAGTCTTCGGTACTGTTATACATCATCCCCCGTCTACGAGGCTCTTGTAGCTCTACTCCAGCACCCGTCTACGAGGCTCTTGGACCTCTACTCCAGCACCCGTCTACGAGGCTCTTGTAGCTCTACTCCAGCACCCGTCTACGAGGCTCTTGGACCTCTACTCCAGCATCTGTCTACGAGGCTTTTGTAGCTCTACTCCAGCACCCGTCTACGAGGCTCTTGTAGCTATACTCCAGCACCCGTCTACGAAGCTCTTGTAGCTCTACTCCAGCACCCGTCTACGAGGCTCTTGTAGCTCTACTCCAGCACCCGTCTACGAAGCTCTTGTAGCTCTACTCCAGCACCCGTCTACGAAGCTCTTGTAGCTCTACTCCAGCACCCGTCTACGAGGCTCTTGTAGCTCTACTCCAGCACCCGTCTACGAGGCTCTTGTAGCTCTACTCCAGCACCCGTCTACGAGGTCTTGGACTCTTTGCACCCTTGCACTCTTTGGATAAACAAAGGCAACATTCCAGGCTTATTAATAGGAGTCGTTGGTTTTGACAATAGAAGCCAATTCACCATGGCCAGTGTGGCGGGACTAAGTACACAAGTCTCCCCTTAAACTTCGGGCGGACAAACAAATATACAGAGAGACATTTTCTCTTATAGATACGCATGGGGTACTGACGGTTTCTGTCGGACTCTATCTCTGTCTGTCTCTGTCTCTCTCTGTCTGTCTCAGTCTCTCTCTGTCTGTCTCAGTCTCTCTCTTTGTCTGTCTCAGTCTCTCTCTTTGTCTGTCTCAGTCTCTCTCTTTGTTTGTCTCAGTCTCTCTCTCTCTCAGTCTCTCTCTCTCTCTCTCTCTCTCTCAGTCTCTCTCTCAGTCTCTCTCTCTCTCTCTCTCTCAGTCTCTCTCTCTCTCTCTATCTCTCTCAGTCTCTCTCTCTCTATCTCATCTCTCTCTCTCTCTCTCTATCTCTCTCTCTCTCTCTCTCTCTCTCTCCTCTCTCTCTCTCTCTCTCTCTCTCTATCTCTCTCTCTCTCTCTCTCTCTCTCTCTCTCTCTCTCTCGCTCTCTCTCTCTCTCTCTCTCTCTCTCTCTCTCTCTCTCTCTCTCTCTCTCTCTCTCTCTCTCTCTCTCTCTCTCTCTCTCTCTCTCTCTCTCTCTCTCTCTCTCTCTCTCTCTCTCTCTCTCTCTCTCTCTCTCTCTCTCTCTCTCTCTCTCTCTCTCTCTCTCTCTCTCTCTCTCTCTCTCTCTCTCTCTCTCTCTCTCTCTCTCTCTCTCTCTCTCTCTCTCTCTCTCTCTCTCTCTCTCTCTCTCTCTCTCTCTCTCTCTCTCTCTCTCTCTCTCTCTCTCTCTCTCTCTCTCTCTCTCTATCTCAGGCATCACTCACCATTATGTATACTTATATATTGATCCAACAACCGTAAAATACCAACGGAAAATTATCCTTTATTATTTGGAATAATACGGTAGAAACGCCATTCATTATCCCGCCACCCGTAATTAACATGACTTAGTATTGGAAAATAATGACGCAACATATACAATGATCACGTAACATTAGCAATAATACGGAACAACAATGACAATATTGACAGTTTTAATTAGAACCAGTGAAATAACGAGGCTATAATATCGACGCTACGTGCTCCGGGACACCCACCGTACGAACGTTACAAACTGATTTTTTGAATTTGAATTTAAATTTGAAAAACAGTAGCACTGTACCATGGCAGCTCTCGCTAATTAATGGGATGGAAAGGTCAGTGTGGTGGTGGATGTTGGAGCTCCATCAAGGCCACTGGGAGGGAGAGAGAGAGATGGAAGAGGAATGGGAGGGCATTGTGTTACATTGAGGATTGTACATGAGAAGAACAAGTGGGAGAGGTCCAAATCTACCATATCTTCTGGTCTATATCTGTTCTATACTATATCTGGTCGGGTCTATACGGTATAAATAGTTTCCTTAAAGCTATATACAGCTCCTATCTGATGCTGAAACTGGATAGTTACCCCTCTAAAACACTTATATATAAACATTGCGATATTCACCGGCAATTATAGGTCCATGAGAGGGTATAGGCCTCGTTAGAGAATAGGGAGCAAGGAATGGTGGTTGAGAGGGGGTGTTAATGTAATGGACGGTACAATAGAGGTATATAAAGGGGATTAGATAGGGGGTGAGAAGGGAAAACGGGCTGGAACTCTGGGTGCCTAACTCACCTTCGCTAATTAGCACCTGTGACCGCCCGCCACTTCAACTGGTGGGAGCTGTGAGGGGGTAGGGGATACGAGTCACGCAGACCATTTCAACAGCTCCTGCCCAAGCCCCTCCCTGCCTCCCTGCCTGCCTGCCTGCCTGCCGCCGCCATACTTAACTACACACACACACGCACACCAGGGGAGCTCCTATTTATACTTATGTGCATTATATGTATATTTATTTTATGCTTTGTATGCACGCAACGTTATCGAGGCTCTATGAGAGAGAGAGAGAGAGAGAGAGAGAGAGAGAGAGAGAGAGAGAGAGAGAGAGAGAGAGAGAGAGAGAGAGAGAGAGAGAGAGAGAGAGAGAGAGAGAGAGAGAGAGAGAGAGAGAGAGAGAGAGAGAGAGAGAGAGAGAGAGAGAGAGAGAGAGAGAGAGAGAGAGAGAGAGAGAGAGAGAGAGAGAGAGAGAGAGAGAGAGAGGGTGAACTAAAATAATCAATTAGGATGATGTGTTTCGGCTCTGCATGAAAACCTGACGTCTAATGGTGGACATTGAGTAGCCTCATGCTATTAGCAGAGTGGGCGGGGTCCAGTCTGAGTGGGGTCCAGCCGGAGTGGGGTCCAGCCTGAGTGGGGTCCAGCCTGAGTGGGGTCCTACCAGCCTGGAGGTCCCTATACTTGAATAACTGAATAAATCAAGAATAATTGTGGTTACAATGTTGATTGCAGTCATTGTGATACAGTGTACAATGAGGTGATGTGGTGTATAGATCACAGTATTTAAGGTAAAGGTGTATTGTTTTGATTTCAGAATCACTATACAGGTGTGGGAATGTATTGGGTATGACTGAATTGTCTAGTATATCTCTCGCCTGACCAATGTATGAGCTGGTATGCCCGAGGAATGTCTGGCGTCGTATTAATTGGCTTAAAGACGCGTATGTCATACAGAAACAGATTGGAGAGTGAATCCCTGAATATTGGAACGTTTATGTGTATTAATTAGAAAATAATTTTGATTTGATAATTCTTAACGCATTCGATTCGATGTATATATAAAAAGACCCAAGTATACGCACTTGTAAGTGAATATGAATTCTATTTACATTAAATAGAAACATTAAATAACAAAAGTCTAGTTTGAAGTTTTCTAGTACAATGGTTTTCAGACTTTTGTAAGCCACGGAGCATTTATGTTAGAAAATGGGTTAAATTTTCTCTGAAAGACTGCGAGGGGGGACTATAGCACTGCGCTCTATCTTGTCTTGTGTGCTGGAAGCGGTCACATATTCCCATACGGCTTGACACGTGTGTGGAATCATTCCGTTTATTTTCATACTTTCGTTAACGATAACACGCAGGATTAGACTCGTCAATTTATCCGTGTCTCTATAGCTTTATACCCGACTTCTGAACCTCCAGACTCACAAAAACACATTCCGGAATCAGTTGGAGGTTCCGCTAAGCGATACCGTTCCGGTCAACACTGAAAATCCCCCTGAATATTGTTTTGTATACAAGTGCATGTGTGAGGGCATTATATGTCTGCAGCCTCCTGCAGGTACGTCTCAATAGCCGTTACTGTTGCCCGTGTGGCTACATGCATAGGCGTGCAGGTGTAGAAGTGACGGATATTATTACACAGGGCCCTAGTGTAGGTAGCAATGGGATGTGGCGCCTCCAAGACAGTAGAAGTGATTGAGGAGGGGGAGGACCTGGACGCCGCTAAGACCCCCACCACCATCGAGATTCAGGATGAGCTAACGAGCGTGCGTTCCAACACCCCGGATCTGGATTCGAAGCCCATATCCCCGCCCACCTTGGCGCCTCTCGTCCAGCCCAACGGTATGGAGTCCGCGGGTTCACCGGCGGGAGAAAGCCTGCCGCAGACTCCCGTGGAGGACCCTCTGCCTCAGTCAGGTAACATAAAATTTGATCTTGGAAGTGCCACACACACACCATCCTCCTCTCTCTCACCTTGACACCTGGCCCTGTGTTGTGATGGCACCTGTTAGCACCAAGAATGGCACCCCCTCCCTTAATCACGTCTTGCTCACACATCTGTTGTTTTGCCAATGATGCTGTTTTTGCGATGTGTGAATGCATAGCTTTTGTTTTTTTTAGTACAGTGTCTTAGTAACTTTCAGATTCTGGTAACGTTTTGGCTTAAGCGTATATTTTTACCCATCAAATGGTAAACAATATATTGTTATCAGGCGATTAATATTTGCCGTCGTGCGAGACGATTCGTAATGTGTCAATTGTACATCGGAACCGCACTAAACTGAGACGAAGAATTCGAACCAGACTGCAGTTAAGCGACGTAAACACCTCAGCGCTGGAAACTTCCGTATATAGTTGTGCGCATTTTAATGTCTTGCATTATTTATTTGTTTTATTTATTTGCTTACTTATTCGTTTATTTTACTGTATTAAACAAGTGTTACCGTCTTATAGTGTGAGACAGAAATTAGAGACAGAAGGCTAGATGGTAAAGAAAATGTAAAGCCAAAGCTTTAAATCATAGTCATAAGGAATGTATACTTGGGTTTGCATTCAAACTTTAATGTTGAACCATGTGAAGGACTAAGGTAAACCCCTCCAGGAGTTTACCAGGGAACAGACCTTGTAAATTGTTTGATATTGAAGTTAATTTGATCGTAACATTAAACTTAACAAGTCACTTAATATTAGGTCTGTAATTTTATTAATCACGGCCTCTGGAGATGCGAATATGTTTGCAACAATGACAAGATTTTTTATCGTGATGAAATATTATAGTCGAGCTTTGAGAAATAACTCCTATCTTCAGCGGTGGAATGCAATATAATATATTATTTTATTAATATATTTTATTAATATATTATTTTATTAATATATTTTATTAATATATTATTTTATTAATATTTTATTAATATATTAATAATATATTAATATATAATATTATATAATATATTATGTATAATAATAATTATACAATATAATTAAATATATTATATTTATATAATATATTAATATATTATATAATAATATTTTATTAATATATTATATAATAATATTTTATTAATATATTATATATAATATATAATAATTAATATATTATATTATTAACCTAAAATATGAGGTTTTAGTCTCATTTCGTAAAGATACAAAACTCGCGATTGAATTCTGCATCAGTTATAATCTTAAGCTTGAAGATCAACATTTCCTAGAAATCTTGAGGTGGGTGACCTTGTGTGTTGTGTGTCGAGTCCTCAGTCTTGTGTGTGTGTGTGTCGAGTCCTCAGTCTTGTGTGTTGTGTGTCGAGTCCTCAGTCTTGTGTGTTGTGTGTCGAGTCCTCAGTCTTGTGTGTTGTGTGTCGAGTCCTCAGTCTTGTGTGCGTGAGTGTGCAGAAAGTTTTATCTACATATTAAATTATTAAACATATATCAAACTCCCGGATTAAACATAATAGTGTGTGAGTCAGACCACATACTACTAGGATTACATTGACGTCATTTGGATGACAAATTGCTAGAATACGTTTCCAGGGAATGTGTAAATTCATATATGTTATTGCATTATAGACCTTTCCGGTAAGCCTTATGGATACATATGGGGTTACATATTGTCTTACAGAGAGACAAATTATTATTTTAATCACACAAGGCTTGATATATTGTAGCTATACATATTTAATTCTGGTAAATTACATATACAAAAAAGCATGTAAATAACTTACAGTGTAAAATGTGAAGGTAAATGTAAATACTCAAATAATAATGTAAATAATGTAAATATAAATGTAAATGTACTCGTTTGCTCTTATCCAAAGCCACTTATCCATATCTGAAAAAATGCCTCAAAGTCTGTTTGTTTGTCTGTCCAAACTTGAATGCCATATGCTTGGGGCTACTCTCACCCAGCTTTGCAGAGGGAATGGTGTGGGGTGTGGGACGGTAATAGGCTGGTCCGGGGTCTGAGGTTATTTAGAGTGAAAGTTTCTTTCACCCTGAATGGACCTGTTACCTAGCAGTAAATAGGTACCTGGGAGTTAGTCAGCTGTCACGGGCTGCTTCCTGGTGTGTGTGGTGTGGAGGAAGAAAAAGTAGTTAGTAAACAGTTGATTGACAGTTGAGAGGCGGGCTGAAAGAGCAAAGCTCAACCCCCGCAAATGCAACTAGGTGAATACAACTAGGTGAATACAACTAGGTGAACTAGGTGAATATACACGATATATTTGTATAATGGTACACTTATACCTTAATATACTAACATATGCTTGCATAGTAGTATATACTGATATGCTTGTATACCTGTATACTGATATGCTTGTGCAGTATACTGATATGCTTGTATAGTATACTGTGTGCTTCTATAATATATACTGATATGATTTATTATTTTATACTGAAACGCCAGTACACCTCTATACTAACATACTGATATACTGGTATACTGTTATGCTTGTACGCTAATATGCTGATATGTTTGTACGGTACACTGCTATACTGGTATGCTGGTATACTGTTATGCTTGTACACTGCTATACTGATATGTTTGTACGGTACACTGCTATACTGATATGTTTGTATACTGATATGTTTGTATACTAATATGCTTCTATACCTATATACTTGTATACTGATATGTTTTAATGCCTATATACTTGTATACTGATATGCTTTAATGCCTATATTTTGTATACTGATATACTTTTATGCCTATATTATGTATACTGATATTCCTGTATACTTGCATGACCGTCAGGGTCAGTAATTAATGTTTTCTTATTACATATTAGAATGGGGAAAAAATTAGCATATATGAACCTGAAATAATGTAGCCTAAGCCTTATGTAATTTGTATTGTTCTATACAATATATATATAACTATCTTTCCCTGTAACGTGTTCTGTACATGGAAAGATATTTATAGAATACACTACAGAGGGATATTTACACAATACAGCATTATACATCTTGGAGAAACTGCTATGAACTGTTTATAAATTAGACCTCTGAATTACTCAAATGAAACCGAATTGTTATTAATTGTCCAAAAAAATAATATTAAACAAAATATTAGAAACTTATATTAATTCTGTAATGCCAAGTAAGAAAAAAAATTAAAAAAATTAAAACTTATATTAATTCTTTATTGTTGAATTAAGGAAATAACAAACTTTATATATTGTTCACCTGTAGGCAACCTCCCACCATACTCACCCTCACTCACCCAGAAAGGTACGTCCTTCCTCTACGAAAAAATTCTATAAGTCTGTAAATGCAGAAATATATCTATTTAAATAGGGGATTAGATGTAGAGTGCTGATATAAATATTGGTGAAAATAAACCGCTTGTAAATAAGTGCATTTGTGCATGTGTTGATTTCACTCTGGTTAAAATCACAGAGGAGAGTGTGTACTATGTTGAGTAAAAGGCTTCGTGACTCAGGAGACTTTTACTCAACGCCTTACAGGAACTCTTTACTCAACGCCCTGTCACAAATCGACAGGATATCCTGTTATCCTGTTGCATATTGTAATCTGAGGGAAGGCAAATGCCGAAAACATTATACGAAAAGGTACAGATCAGCCCACCCCGTCCTCTCGAATTGTCACAACGTCTCAAAAATCCCCTAAATTGCCTGAACCTAACCTGACCAAGGGACCCCTCGAATAGAAAACGGGACAGTCAGAGAAAACATCTTGCATGAGAGTACCTGAAAAGTCTTTGATATTCAAGGGCAAACGAATATAAATATTGAAATTCTCTTGAAGAATATATTGTGTCTGTGTTAGAGATTATAAAATGAGAGACAGAGATAGAGACAAAGAGATGTATTAACAGATTATAGAGACAAAAAGGTATATTATTAACAGATTATAGAGACAAGGAGATAGATTATTAACAGATTATAGAGACAAACTAAGTGTGTCTTAACATTTCGGTTCTTTTCTTGTTGCTTTGTGGTATAGCTGTAAGAGAACGCATGCGCTTATACTTGTGCGTGTGCGCGCATGTGTGGGGGGGGGGGTTGTACTGGCGTGCGTTTATGCTTGAGTGCGTGCGAGTTCTTGCGCTTGTGCAGGTGGAGGCAACGTGAGGTGTTGAGACAGCACCATTATTATACGTATTGACTGCTCCCTTTCTTTTTCCTACCCCTCCCCCCACAAACGTACACAGGCACGCACGCACATACACACGCGCATGCATGCACACACACCGTAGACCAAAGAGCCAAAGCTCAACCCTCGCAAGCACAAATTGGGGAACACACACCCACGCATGCACACACACATCCACACACACACACACACACACACACACACACACACACACACACACACACACTGCACCGCAGTAAACGTTCATGGTATGTCTTGAGCACATTTCCGTTGCATGTATGCACATATTTGCAACAATGGAGTCGTGAAAGTGGAGGGAGGAAGGGAAGGGAAATATCCGCACAAAGTGCCAAGCCATTACGACTATATAGCACTGGGAAGGGATTAGGATAAGGACTTGGGATGGGACGGGGGGTAAGGAATGGTGCCTAACCACTTGTGGATGGTCGGGGATTGAACGCCAACCTGCATGACGCGAAACCGTCGCTCTACCGTCCACGTCAGTTACGAGTCTACCGACTGGTTCTCCAGTGAGTGGATAGATGAGCGGATGAATGAATAAGTAGGTATGTGTGGGTGTATCAGCCCGTGGATGTGGGTCCGGTGGTATAACTTATAGATGACGCGGAGTCGATACATACACAATACAAAGACAACAATAGCATATAGAACATTTCCAACCAAATTCCTTCGACAAAAATGTAGTATATATTCAACTAGCAAGTTGCCACATATTGGCCGGTGAGCATATTAACACATACGTACACATACATGCACATACCTACACATACTTACATATAAACAGAATTATTGTACTCTGTCTAACCTGGTCTTTCCCTCTCTGTCTTCCCCAGCTGACGGGCGACCTGTGGCGTTCGAAGTGGCCCCAGTGGATCCCTCTGAATCCATCATTCGCCGTCACCCACCGAGGAAGTTCCAGAAGTTAGAGGAGCAGCAGCAGCAGCAGCAACAGCAGGGCTCCGCCCTCACCCAGGAGATGTTGGAGGAGAAGCAGGCGGAGGCTGAGAGGCGCCGGCAGGAGGTAGGGATTTTGACAAGTCTCCCCTTACACCCACGAGTAATGGGAAACTACACCAATATGTTAATGGGAGACTACAACAATATGAGTAATGGGAGACCACGACAGTTTTAATATATAATAAGAACATATATATATAAGAAACTAATTATATATATATGTCATAAAAGAAATATTGTAGAATGCGTGTCATTTTTGGGTACGCTTTCATGTAACTGTCCATATATGCATTTTTTATATTGTTATATCTTCGTGCTAGAATCATTAATCTCACCCTTTCTGTCGCATGCACATACATACATACATACATACATACATACATACATACATACATACATACATACATACATACATACATACATACATACATACATACATCCTACTGAAGAGGTATTATTAAATACGAAAGTACTTAAGGAAATTCCTGCCTTAATCCTTCCTTCGTGGTCTGACACTGTCACATACATACATACATGTACTGACTATGTATGTATAATGTTCCAGCTGCTGAGCCAGCGCGTGCAGAGCGCCAAGCATCGCACAGCGCGCAGCGCCGGCCGTATGCGCTCCCGCCCCTCCGACGGCGACGAGGTCGAGCAGGTAAGTTTACCTGAGAGCCATTAACGCTATAGTGGCCTCGACGAGGACAGGAAGCTGGCGGATTGTCTAATAACCCCACCCCCTTCCTTTCTCCCTCCCCATTTGTCTTGAAATAGGGGGGTTAGGAGTGTTTGTTTACCTTCCGTGGTGGAATCTGGAGAACAAACGCTCTCCCTGCTCACTATATCCGCTTCAGAAACAAGTTATTTTATTTTGATTTAGCTGTGAAAATTATGAATGTTATTTACGTGTCGTTTGTGTGTGTGTGTCTTTTGTTTTAGATATTCTGTTAACTAGTTATAGAGATAATTCTTTGTTAAATTATTATTATTTTGATTTGGTTCACTGTGTTATAGGGTGCTAGTACACTGTTATTTGAACGTTGCGTTGTGTGTAAAACACTTCACTATATGCATGATTTAATGGTTATTTGGCTGATTTAATGGTTATCTGTTCGGAAACTCGTGTTCTGTTGTCGGAAACCCGTGTTCGGTTGTCGGAAACCCGTGTTCTCTTGTCAGAAACCCGTGTTCTCTTGTCGGAAACATGTGTTCTGTTGTCGGAAACCCGTGTTCTCTTGTCGGAAACCCGTGTTCTCTTATCGGAAACTCGTGTTCCGTTGTCGGAAACCCGTGTTATCTTGTCAGAAACCCGTGTTCTCTTGTCGGAAACCCGTGTTCTCTTATCGGAAACTCGTGTTCTCCTGTCGGAAACCCGTGTTGTTGTCGGAAACCCGTGTTCTGTTGTCGGAAACCCGTGTTCTCCTGTCGGAAACCCGTGTTGTTGTCGGAAACCCGTGTTCTCTTATCGGAAACCCGTGTTCTCCTGTCGGAAACCCGTGTTGTTGTCGGAAACCCGTGTTCTGTTGTCGGAAACTCGTGTTCCGTTGTCGGAAACCCGTGTTATCTTGTCAGAAACCCGTGTTCTCTTGTCGGAAACCCGTGTTCTCTTATCGGAAACTCGTGTTCTCCTGTCGGAAACCCGTGTTGTTGTCGGAAACCCGTGTTCTGTCGTCGGAAACCCGTGTTCTCTTGTCGGAAACCCGTGTTCTCTTGTCGGAAACCCGTGTTCTGTCGTCGGAAACCCGTGTTCTCTTGTCGGAAACCCGTGTTCTCTTGTCGGAAACCCGTGTTCTCTTGTCGGAAACATGTGTTATATTTATTAAAGTTATTTAATAAAGTCTACATCAACTTTATCTCTATTTCAGCTTTTTACTATCACTCTTTCATACCTGACTAATAATTAGCCTTTGAATAGTGATCCTTTGAAGCCAAAGGAGACGTTGGCTTCAAAGATCAAGCTTCAAAGATCAAGCTTCAAAGATCAAGCTTCAAAGATCAAGCTTCAAAGATCAAGCTTCAAAGATCAAGCTTCAAAGATCAAGCTTCAAAGATCAAGCTTCAAAGATCAAGCTTCAAAGATCAAGCTTCAAAGATCAAGCTTCAAAGATCAAGCTTCAAAGATCAAGCTTCAAAGATCAAGCTTCAAAGACCCTTAAGTTAAGGGTCCTCTATGTTTCAAAGACGTTGAGTTAACATTACGTATTGTCCAATGTTTTGTTGTGTTCACACGATGTGTTTTTGTTTGACACTAAACATGGCTACAGATCGAATTGGTGTTTATTTATTGCGTTCTTAATATTACTGTAAGTCATGCGCTTCTGATTCTCTTTTTGTTGCCTCTTGTTTCTCATATATTTCTCTGCTTGAGTTGCTTCTTTTGTTTAGTTGTTTTGGTATTCTTCTCTTGCTCGTATTGTAATTGTTTCCGCAAGTATATACATTGTTGTTGTTGTGTGTTTGTTTCTGTACTTCGTATTTACATCTGTGTTCCTTGTTATGGCCTGTTTTTACTTACGCTTGCTGCGTCTCGTTTGTTCCCTGGTGTTAATGTACGCCTCTCCTTCTGTTGCTGGTAATCTCTCCTTCTGTTGCTGCTGATCTCTCCTTCTGTTGCTGCTGATCTCTCCTTCTGTTGCTGGTGATCTCTCCTTCTGTTGCTGGTGATCTCTCCTTCTGTTGCTGCTTATCTCTCCTTCTGTTGCTGCTGATCTATCCTTCTGTTGCTGCTGATCTCTCCTTCTGTTGCTGCTGATCTATCCTTCTGTTGCTGCTGATCTATCCTTCTGTTGCTGCTGATCTCTCCTTCTGTTGCTGGTGATCTCTCCTTCTGTTGCTGCTGAGCTGTCCTTCTGTTGCTGCTGATCTATCCTTCTGTTGCTGCTGAGCTGTCCTTCTGTTGCTGCTGAGCTGTCCTTCTGTTGCTGCTGATCTCTCTTTCTGTTGCTGCTGAGCTGTCCTTCTGTTGCTGGTGATCTCTCCTTCTGTTGCTGCTGAGCTGTCCTTCTGTTGCTGGTGATCTCTCCTTCTGTTGCTGCTGAGCTGTCCTGTTGTTTGTCTCAATCTTACTCTCCTGTTCATCTATATACCATTCCAGTCCTCCGCTGACAATTCTTCTTTACCGTCATACCTTTTTAAAAAGTTAATTAACCTACTCATCCACCGACCTACTCATCTACGCTTCTACCCCCGCTAACCATCTCTCTTTAGTGATCTTGTGTCCCATCAACCACCCTGTTCTACACCCCACTGCCTGCTCTTGTGCTCATGTACCCCACTCTACTGTCCTTCCATCACCAGCCGTCCCCTCCTGTACCCTAGCTCAGCTCCCACCGGCCTCCTGTACCCTAGCTCAGCTTCCACCGGCCTCCTGTACCCTAGCTCAGCTCCCACCGGCCTCCTGTACCCTAGCTCAACCCTCCCACCGGCCTCCTGTACCCTAGCTCAGCTCCCACCGGCCTCCTGTACCCTAGCTCAGCTCCCACCGGCCTCCTGTACCCTAGCTCAGCTCCCACCGGCCTCCTGTACCCTAGCTCAACCCTCCCACCGGCCTCCTGTACCCTAGCTCAGCTCCCACCGGCCTCCTGTACCCTAGGTCAGCTCCCACCAGCCTCCTGTACCCTAGCTCAGCTCCCACCGGCCTCCTGTACCCTAGCTCAGCTCCCACCGGCCTCCTGTACCCTAGCTCAGCTTTCACCGGCCTCCTGTACCCTAGCTCAGCTCCCAACAGCCTCCTGTACCCTAGCTCAGCTCCCACCAGCCTCCTGTACCCTAGCTCAGCTCCCACCGGCCTCCTGTACCCTAGCTCAGCTCCCACCGGCCTCCTGTACCCTAGCTCAGCTCCCACCGGCCTCCTGTACCCTAGCTCAGCTTCCACCAGCCTCCTGTACCCTAGCTCAGCTCCCACCAGCCTCCTGTACCCTAGCTCAGCTCCCACCGGCCTCCTGTACCCTAGCTCAGCTCCCACCGGCCTCCTGTACCCTAGCTCAGCTTCCACCAGCCTCCTGTACCCTAGCTCAGCTCCCACCAGCCTCCTGTACCCTAGCTCAACCCTCCCACCGGCCTCTCATCCTCTGGTTGACGGTGTTATTGTGCTGCAGTTCATGATGATGGAGGAGCTGGACTGGACGAGCCTGGTCTGTACCTCACTGTTGCCGCCGGTGAAGTCGACCAAGGTGGCACCCAAACCATCCTCCTCCTCCCTCCACTCGACTGGCTGCGTCTACCATGTGTCCACCAGTGCGTAGTGGTAGCAACTTCACTATAGTTTCACTCAAAACGTTTTTTCTAATCTCCAAAAAAAATGTTCGCTTGATCATTCATGTGGCACTTAAAACTATTTATATATATATATATGCCCTCTGTACTGAAGGCCAGAACACTTATGTTGTATATAGTAGCGTATATTCCTGCTTATTTGAACTAAAGGACATTTATTTCTAAGTTAATCTCACGCTTACGTTCTTGCTGTGGGAGGAAGTTTCATCTCCTTATGCAACCTGTCCTCTTAAAAAGAACGTCGCTTTTGGTCGTTTGCCCATGGCCGAATATGGACGTAATTTGAAAATGAAAAAAATATATATATATAAATATATATAAATTTGGGATTTTTTTCAACAACAGTAAGGTAAGGGTCCTCTGATAGGTTAGGTGGGCAGGAAATTCTCATAAAGTTTCAAAACGGTATGAAAAACGTTAATGGAAAGAATCCTCTTCTAAGCTGGCCGAGTAAGCCGGACGACTCAAACAGAAAACGGAACAGTACGTCACTTTTGTGAGTCGATTTCATTTTAAATTACGTCCAAATTTGGCCACAGCGCGCATACGGGCGAAAAGTGACGTTATTTTTAAGAGGACGGGTTGCACAACAAGCACCTCCCATCCTGCCTGTGGCTATGTTGACGTTCCCGGCTTGCACTTGCTCTCATCTACACCAAGATTTTATGCTTCTTTTTCTCAAGTTCCTCAGCATCATTACTAACTTTAAATCATAAAGCTCTGCATACAATAAATAACAATTAAGCAATATCCGTTGTATTGTTTTACTTCAATAGGGCTTTCATCTGCTTTACTTATATATTTTTAATATTTAATTTATAAATTTATTGGATGATCATTCCTCCTGATGCTCTATGATCTTCATGTGACTTGACTTTCGTCTTTTCAAAACTACTACAAAGTTTACACACAGAAATCATAATAGTGTGATGTATCAAATGAACAAATCCACAAGGGCCGCGATGAGGGTTCGAACCTACATCCGAGAGGATCCCAGACGTCTGGGATCCTCTCGGACGTAGGTTCGAATCCTCGTCACGGCCCTTGTGAATTTGTTCACTACAAAGTTTGCCTCTTTGTTTACATCTCCAGCCAACCTGCGTAACATTCACATTGTCTGATCAACTCTGCACGTTGGCTCAGCTCTCACACGCACACTGCATCTTTGTAAAGCCAGTGTATGTATACGTATGTATACATACGTATGTATACATAATCACGTGTTTATTTTCGTGATATACACACATACGTATGTATGTATATGCCAGTTAGTCTTGTACCGGGATCATATAGCAAAAAATTTTTATACTTAGCATATATATAAGCTTCATTTATCTCTCCCTGTGGGCAAAGCATGCCCAGGAAACGGTGAAACAATATTATATGCATTGCATCAGTATTAAACGCATTGCATTAACATTAGCGACGTCCATTCAACGTCATCAATGATGGAGACAATGTCGATAAACATTCAAATATTATAAACTCTACGGATAATTGAACCCACATTTCATGATTCAAAAAAGTCTATTTTTGGTTATTTCAATATGGGTCAATCCTACTTAAAGAAGGGATCTAATTTCCACTCTCGTTAGATATAAGACTCCATTCTAGCTAAGATTCACTTAACATATTACTTTCTACATGATGATTACAGATTAGTTTTGTACAGTTTATTGATGACGGTGTTGAGTGAAACTTGTTACAGCGATGAAGGGAAGGTGGTGAAAGGTGTGGAAGTTGGTGAACGATAGGGTATGGGAACCTAGTGAAGGGTAGGGGGAACCTAGTGAAGGGTAGGGGGAACCTAGAGAAGGGTAGGGGACCCTAGTGAAGGGTAGGGGAACTAGGGTTACTGTTGAGGGTTACAAGACACAGTCCATACAGATGAATGAGATGGATACTATACTTTAGCAAGATACACATGTACCTAAGTTACCTGAATGCATCGTCATTATCACGGATTATGTCAGCACAACAAATATATATATATATATATATTCATGTTGGTTTGACAGTATATTATACATCACTTTTGTGCATCAAGTTGCCAAATTAATTCTAATTAATTCAAACAGTCTCCGTGGTGTAGTGGGAAGACACTCGCCTGGCGTTCCGCGAGCGCTATGTCATGGGTTCATATCCTGGCCGGGGAGGATTTACTGGGCGCAATTCCTTAACTGTAGCCTCTGTTTAACGCAACAGTAAAATGTGTACTTGGATGAAAAAACGATTCTTCGCGGCAGGGGATCGTATTCCAGGGACCATAGGATTAAGGACTTGCCCGAAACGCTACGCGTACTAGTGGCTGTACAAGAATGTAACAACTCTTGTATATATCTCAAATAAAAAAATAAATAAAAATTGTGACCTGGACGAGATTTAGCCCAACATGCACATTGACTGCTGAGGCTGCTAATACCAGTTGCTGCTATAGATCAGAATAAAGTAATATATTGCCAGTGTAATTGCCTAGCATCACCTATATCTCTTTTAATATTTTACAGCTGGATGACGGAATAATTGAGAGCGCTGCTTCAGTTAACCCAGAAAATGAGCTGTGAGAAGCACCACCTCACCACAAGACTGCTGTTGTGGCGGCACCAGGAGTGGCATCAAGGCACAGATGAAGATTCGCTTTTTTTTCACATGTTTTACAGACACGGACCATGAAGAATATTTTATCATTACACCAAAACAATCAAGGTGATCCGTAGCTTGGGATCTCCAGGCGAGAGCCACCAGTGAAGACCATAATAGTGTACTACCAAGCATAGTTTTCAAGATCATAGTTTATATTTATAATGTAACTACAGAAAATGTGTAATGTAGTATCATTATAAAGTGATAATTTAAACATATTTTTCAAGACAATCAATAACGTTATCTATATATCCTACAAGGTAACAGTTATTTAATTTTTTAATTAATTTTGTTAATGTTTTTCAACTTAAATGGATCAGAAACGTAATACTTTCATCATTGCCTTAACATTTTTCTACATAGCTATGAAGACTTTTATCTTGGAATATTACACAAAAGTATACAAAAGACAACAATAAAGCTAGACTAAAATGCATGTAATATTTTCTACCACTTCCTATATGCGATTATAAATTACTATCCACACATGTAGTTAGTTTTATATGTGAAATCAAATGTAATCGTGTAACTTACGTGTGATTGTTAACTTCACTTAACAAGTGTAATATGAAAGGTCTTAGTTAGACATCTTATTGTTCTCACTACTTCAGTGATTGGCTATCACAGAGTTGCACAGGAATATTTTGAGTCCAAAGTTTCTTCAGCTTTAAAGCGATCGCACAAAATATACAGTACTGACTAATCTTTAGTTACCGATATATAACTCAATGTGTCTTATACAGACTTTTATAGAGGAACAAATATAACTAAGTACTCATTAATGTCTAGCAACATACACTTAGTTTTGAGTATATAGGAAACTTATTATATCTTTATAGGTTATTCACGTAAAAATATGATGATTTCTCGCTGTAAATATAATCATAGCACCTCCATCAACATTATGTCTCGCTGCTCACTCTATAGAACAGTATACCAAGCATATCTGTGCAGTGTGTAAGATATCTGTGATAAAGCCTCTCCTGCTTGTATCCAGCTGCCAATATATTCAGCACCTGAAGAGGCTGAAGACCCATGATGGCAGCTTGCTATGTTTGCCTAAAACAAAAATTCTGAATTATTTCCTTTTATTTGTGCCTATGGGAATTTTATCTAGCTTTGAAATGCTATATAGTACACCGATGAGGAATGGGAAATCAGACAGCAGTCTTAGGTGCTCTAAATCTGCTTAATTATTCCCAGCCAGGGTCAATGGAAGTGATTACAGAACGCTTTATCCTTGTATAAGTGTCCAGCTGAAATATACAGAAGGATTTACATTGTGTTTCATTTACACGTCCCACATTCAATTGTGATACTATATTAAACTAATGATATATAAATTATAATCACATGAGGTGTGATTTAAATGTTTACATAGTGGGTATTTATATCTTACATAAAGCCACTAAATAAATATGTACAGCACTTCAGACAATAAAAATAATATATTTGAGTAAATAAAATTTTCAAATACTGTACTGTATTATAGACATGCTGGTAATTAGTATGCAACTATCTTAATATGTAACAAGCAAATACTGTAGTGCAGTGGTCTACGTTCATGGCTCACAATGGAGAATTCTGGGGTCAATCCCTGGGGAGGACAGAGGAGATTGGGCACGTTTCCTTTCACCTGATTAGGGAAGTGATGTGACTCTTTCCCAAACGATAATAATTATTTTTGTGGATTTCCCCCAAACTTGATACATCTTGCACTGCACACACCTGGTAACTCTTTTTGCATAGATTTCAAGGTCACGGGGGCAGGAAGTAAGGAGAAACTCTTTTTGTATCTCCTGGAACCTATTGGAGAGTCGGCATCATGGAATGTGATGTCACCCACTCTACCTTGAAGGCAGATGGCGTCTAAATGGAAGAAAGGCAGAGCACTGACTAGCGCAAAAAGAGGTGTGTTGTACCATGCGATGTGCCCTTTTTAACAGTGGAGTCCTACTTTATCGTACATTCTCCAACACTGGTGCAAAGACCTCTCTCTCTCTCTCTCGTCCCAACTTAGCCACCCAACCAGTCTCCAAGGGCAATCCCTCTAGTGTGGTCCATTGACCTCAACAACATCCCTACATTAGTATCATTTTGCACATACAGTGCCCAGAGAGAGGTTGGAGGCAACCCTCACCAACCCTAGGGAGTCATACGTGAGTTCCTTATCACGTGAAGACAAAACTCTTGAGGGGGTTGCATGTACAATGCCCAGAAAGAGGACTAAGACATCCCCCACCAACCCCAGGGAGTCGTACTTGAGATCCCTCACCACAAAGCAACACTCCTAAGAGAGGTATACCCGTACTAATGTAGTGTACATGAGGCATCAGTGATGATGAACATGGCTAAGAATATACTTGTGTACCAATGATTTTATTCTTATTTTTAATATCCCTCTTAACATCTACATCAATAAATTGTCAGCTAATATAAAATAAGTGATACATTTTTATGTACTGTAGAATGTTTATTAACAATTATGGAAAACTGACATTAAAATGTTCTAGATATATAATAAAAAATCAGAGAATAAACCCAGCAGTAAACAACATGAAAATAAAAAATAAAAAATATTTAGTATTCTAAATTTCCTATCATACAACTCTGTACAAAAATTGGTTCCCTCAACCTTAGCATTCATCCACATACTCTCAACATGTTCTCTGAAACAACCTTGTGATCCAGCTTCAGGATCACATTTGTTACCACTTGTGCACTGTTATAAAGTCAATAAATCACTTTGATCCACACTGAGGATCAAATATCTGATTACTCACGAGTAACCAGATATTTGTTAATCAATACTTAAGTGCCCTGTAATCATAATATTTAAAGCACCCAATAACAAAACTTTGGTCATCGACAAATACCGCATTTTCTGGCGGACAGAAAGAATATTTTATATCCACCACCAACCCAATATTGTGTTTACATACATAGAATCAAATGTTTTTTCCCCACAAAACCCCTTGAAAGTCCCTTTAAATAAATATATGATAAACACACTAAAACTGTCTTCCACAAAATATCCTTGTAAATTAGGCGCATCTTATATACAGTACAGTAAAATACAGTATATACAGTATCATAAACAACATTCTAGTGTAACCTGTGAATTATGTTTACAGTAGCAGCAAGTAGCGCAAACAACTAATCAAGAAAGAAAATAATTTGTGCCAGACTTTCATTTCAAAGCAATATAATCATCCTAATGCAACTATCTTTCATGCTTTAAAGGTATTGTAATGATGCAGTAAAACAGTAAATAGTGGAGCATTTGTCAATGCACCTAATAAAACACTGATGCATATCTACTGTACTGATATCTTATGCATTCAAGAATCTAACAAAATTGTAAAAAATTTGACAGTAGTGGGGGGGGGGGGGCAAAGGCTTCAGATAGTACTTAAATAAATAAATGCCTAATTTGACCAACACTCTTGAATTCCATATTTAAATTTGTTTTTCATTTGTTGCATCCTGAAATAATGAACAAATCCACAAGGGCTGTGACGAGGGTTTGAACCTATGTCCCGAGAGGATCCCAGACGAGCCTTAATCGACTGAGCTACGACATGCTCAAAAGCATAGAAACCGGGAAATCAACTTGACCTACCACCGATCCTGCAGTCAATATATTGCATCTGACAATGATAATGATGAAGATCTTTATGAGTAAAATGTTAACTAAAGGTGATCCAATGTGTCAACTCATGAACTAGGCATGTACCCTATACACCCACCAGATTGGCCAAACATATGCTATACTACTAAGCAACATGGGCTCTGAAAGGAGAATTGTTTGATTATAACTTTCATTATTGCATCATTATTACACTGATGTATAACTCAAAAATAGCCTGTCAGATGATATATACAGTGAGATATACCTGATGCTCAGCCAACTTAAATATATCAATGTGTATATGCATGTGTAATTAACTACCGGTAAGTGGCAGAAACTGCCAAGAAATGAACGAAAGGACCACATGAATGGAGAATGAAGAGTAATGAAGAAGAAAAAGGAAGTGGCAAAAAAAAAAATAGCATTAAGAAAAGTGCTTTTTAAAAGAAATCTCATACTGCCACTGAGAAAACAAACCCAGATGGGAGACCAACTTAGCCACCTGCAAGCCATAGAGACTGTGATAAATGTGTCAGAAATACGAGATTTGAAAAGCCAAGAAGTTCAAACGACAAACCAGCGAGGTACAGTATGCCAATGGAACTATCTTTCCAAAAGAGGTGGAGCATGGAACAATGACCAGGTTCGGACACTGAGCAAGCAGAAACTACAACCAAGACTGAGCTGGACTCCAAGGAGCCAGAACTACCTTACCCTGGTAGGACTCCAACCTGGCCAGGACCCAGAGCAACAGCTGGACTAGGGGGGGGGGGAAAGAAGTACAGAAACCGCTACCACGACCAGTTCAGCTGAAAGGCATTCATTGTGAAGATTTTGCAATCAGAGAATGGAACCAGGCAATAAAAGAGGAAGGTGCCAATTCTAAGCCGACACAGAGATCCACATTGAGGTGTCCGAACAAGTCACAAAGCCATTCGAAGGGGGTTGGGTTAACGGTCTACTCCGTAGAGACAGGAAGGCCGCTGTGGGCTAAGGCTAGGGTGCCTGGTGGTAACTACACATTTAGAGCTAATTTGAGAGAATTCCTTGTTTAGTGTGCATCATTTGGGAGTTCTGAAGCTTCATTTTTTGTGAACCCTCCAGATGTCTGACCTTCCCCGACTTTCCCAGTTGGGTGGCAAATCGTCACTCGTTCCTTGTGCCTCTGTGAAGGGAGCCAGATGCTGGTTCTGGTCCCTAGTAGGCCAAACAGAACTTCCACAACTGATGTGACCCTTTAGGTGGAGCAATCTCAGTAAGTTGGCTTCAGTGAGCCGCTGCAGCTCCCCCAGAAACATCCAAATTCCTTCAAACCGTAAGATGAATTGTAAACACTGCTGAATGAAACAATTTCAATTAATTAAATTTTATATGTTGAAATCAATATCTGCACAACCACAATATATAGACTGGCTTAGCGCTTCATATATGGTACAACTACAACCTGCATCACTACTTTTATCAAGACATGACCTGACAACCTAAAAATCATAATTACAACACAACACCATAATAAATTTGCTAATTTCATGGCCGCATGTAATTATTACTCATATAATATGAAAATATGTAAAAAAATAAGAAGGCTTAGGGTAACCACAGTTCTGTCCAAAGAGGAACTGCATAAAAAGGCTTTTGTTAAACCTATACTGGCTATATCAGTGTTTATCAGGGAAATACAATCAGGCCAGAAAAATATTAAATCCTATACTATGTCCCACGTAAAGGATGAAATTCTATAGATAAAAAAAAAAAAAATTTGAAGCCTTAGATTGCTCAGACCCGAGAAGTAAACACCACAGACATTAACACACCCCGGGGCCAGATTCATGAAGCAGTTACGCAAGTACAGTACTTACGAACGTGTACATCTTCTTCTCAATCTTTGACGGCTTTGGTTACATTTATTAAACAGTTTACAAGCATGAAAACTTCCCAATCAACTGCTGTTATTGTTATAAACAGCCTCCTGGTGCTTTGGAGCTCATTAACTGTTTAACAATTGTAAACAAAGCTGCCAAAGATTGAGAAAAGATGGACAACAGGCTCGTAAGTGCTTGCGTAACTGCTTCGTGAATCTGGCCCCAGATGTTTATTTTCTGTACATGCACAACAAAATCATATTTCCTGTACATGCACAATAAAAACATCTCCAGGTATTTTGTCCTGTGCACGCACAATAAAGAGGAAAATGCCCAGCACTGAATTTCCAAATGGAAAACTTTCAAAACAATATTATCATATCACAAGAAGACAGTTGAGGAAGACGGCTGTTAAACAACACCAAACTGGATGTCCTGGCAGCAACCGCCTCCTAATCCTTAACACCATTTTGAACTAATGATGATGCCCAAACGTGAGGAAGAGTGGTAAGAGAGAGCCACAGATGAGGGCGAACAACTGCTTGCGGGAGAATTGGCCAGTGCCGCCTCCGTCGTGGCTGTGACTCGTCAATTCCGGCAGGACGTGAACAGTAGATACATAGAGGAAAGTGCCAGCACTAAAGAGCATGGCAAGACCCGTACTATGAGACGAGGATAAACTCTCAGTGCCACTCTGAAAGATACAAAGATTGTTACTTAATTCTTTAAAAATAGTACTGTACAATACTTTATTTAATAACAAATATCCACATATCCATACTTGATAAAAATATTTTCAAATTACAATAAAAGAGAATCCTAATTTCCTTATAAGTGTTAAATAGTTATTAAAATGATAGAATCAAATCAGCAATCCTGCTGTAATGCATCCTTGGAACTTCAAACAACAAAACACTTTCCCATTACCTGGACAATAGCGGAGTATGTAGCTACTGTGCCAATCGGTGCAGCAAGAGCAAATATTATGAGATGACGACGGATTTTATTTCTTTCTACCCCTTCATGCAGCAAGAAGGTGACTAGTCCAAACGCAGCAGGAGCCTGGTATACATGCACAGAGTAAATACATTTACTCTGGAAATTTTTGCATTGATATATACAGCATAACAAACATATATGTGAGACATACCGATGAATATATAGACAATCATTACAAAAACAGGCTTTGAGAGTGATATAAGGAATCACCCAACATGGAATGCAAGGAGCATATAAAATAAGAATCATATATATTCATAATACTATTCCTCATACATTAGTACACTGTAATATACAATATCTTAATAGTATACCCTTCAGCCTACATTTACAGAAAATCTGGTAAAAGAATATACTCCTGCCCTTTTAATTACCATTCAAAACTGTGGATTCACTAATCAAAACATACCAATTTCAATACTGTAATACCTTGTGCAGCATTATTGCAAAGAATACAATCATCTCAACGTCAGTGTGCGAGGAGGCTGCAGCTGCACCCAAGGCTATGCCATCAGCTACCGAAAAGAGAACCAACATTATGCGGTGGGTTATCCTGCAAGTAGGAAGAACAGTGAGGTGAAAGAATATGACGAGCAAAGTAAGGAGTTAGACTTTAGGGTCAGCCTGTTGAATGCAAGTATGTAGCAAATTAGATGCAGATGTGAATATGATCTATCTCCAATCTCGGTCAAATAGTTCTAAAGCAGTGTTCCAAACCACCACTAACTGCATGCCTACAAAATTAACATCTCTCCCTCGTCATCTCTCCTCGAGCACACTACATGTACAATAAGCTTGACAGTGCTCATATATGCCCAATCAAGACACCTCAGAGAGCATACAGGTACTTACCTGCTGCATGGACCACAAGACCAAGTGTGGCTGTCAAGGATCTGTGGCCTCTGCTGTTGCCACTACCATTCTCAGGATCACCTGCAAAATGTTAACAATGAGATGAAGTAATATTTCGATTAAAAAATCCAGTGTTTAAATGTAACGAAATGCCTCTTTCTACTAGAGCCCAAGGTGGTTCCCTAAAACTATCTCGCCGAGACCGCTTCATTCCAAAGGGGTCCATCAGTCGGTGGAGTACTGTTTGGCCTATCGGGACCCAGAGCCAGAGCCTGGCTTCCTCACAGAGGGGTAGGCAGTGAGTGACCATTCACCACCCTACTGGGAAAAGCACACAAGAACTCAGTGAAGCGTTACAGAAAACTATGAGGTTCACAGAATATGAAGCCTAAAACTACCAACAACTCTGCACTAGTAAATGATTCCCACAAAACAATACATTCACCCAAAACTAGCTCAAACCTATTAGTACTGATATCTGTCACCAGGCAACCCAGCCCCCAGCTGGGTTTCTATCGATCATAGCAACCTAAAGCTGGGTTGCTATCGATCATAGCAACCTAAAGCTGGGTTGCTATCGGTCATAGCAACCTAAAGCTGGGTTGCTATCGGTCATAGCAACCTAAAGCTGGGTTGCTATCGGTCATAGCAACCTAAAGCTGGGTTGCTATCGGTCATAGCAACCTAAAGCTGGGTTGCTATCGGTCATAGCAACCTAAAGCTGGGTTGCTATCGGTCATAGCAACCTAAAGCTGGGTTGCTATCGGTCATAGCAACCTAAAGCTGGGTTGCTATCGGTCATAGCAACCTAAAGCTGGGTTGCTATCGGTCATAGCAACCTAAAGCTGGGTTGCTATCGGTCATAGCAACCTAAAGCTGGGTTGCTATCGGTCATAGCAACCTAAAGCTGGGTTGCTATCGGTCATAGCAACCTAAAGCTGGGTTGCTATCGGTCATAGCAACCTAAAGCTGGGTTGCTATCGGTCATAGCAACCTAAAGCTGGGTTGCCAGCTTGGTCATATTAATTACCAAGCTTTGAGCCCAAACAGGTGTGTCAAAGACCTGTGAATAGCCCTAAGCTAGGCTCTCTTCCCTGGTGTTACGGCCTCTCAGAGGCAATCATCCAAACACAAGAAAAGTTTTCTCTGTCAGTGCAGGGGCAGTGTTAGCAAGCACCCTGAGAAAAACCCGGGGCACATGCAAACTGGAACACAACAAAGTCAAGCCCATACAACAAGCCAAAACACGCATGTGAAGAAAAAATGCAGAACAGAGTACAAAGCCAATGGCTCCTGCAGGAACAAATCTATGGAAGGCTGGTATTTAACTTTACACAGAAGGGCTTGCCATGTCTGAAAGCCCCAAAATACTACTGTCCTACGCATAAAAGCAGAAGAAACGATCAAAGAAGATGGCTGCATGCAGAAGCCAGGCTGCCTTGAGGTTATCTTGAGATGATTTCGGGGCTTTAGTGTCCCCGCGGCCCGGTCCTCGACCAGGCCTCCACCCCCCAGGAAGCAGCCTGTGACAGCTGACTAACACCCAGGTACCTATTTTTACTGCTAGGTAACAGGGGCATAGGGTGAAAGAAACTCTGCCCATTGTTTCTCGCCGGCGCCTGGAATCGAACCCAGGACCACAGGATCACAAGTCCAGCGTGCTGTCCGCTCGGCCGACCGGCTCCCTAGGAAAAAATACCATGACCATACCACGACCGACAATACAATACCAAAAAAATACCCTAGGAAAAATACCACAACCATGCCTGGTCGTGGTATTCAGCACCAAGAGTTTTGTGCTAATTTGTAATGTTTCTCTGGTTCTGTGTGAGCATTTTCCAGAGTTATTTGGCAGTTTTGAGACTTTGGTCTTTGTTAACCCTCCAGTTGTCTGTAAAGATTCTCTGACTTTTGGGATCCTTTCCCAGTGAGGTGGGGAATTGTCACTTCCTTTCTGCACTCTTGTGAGGGGGCAAAGTTTTGGATCTAGTTCCCAGTAGGCAAAACAGAACTCCTGCATCTGATGTGACCCATTTTCACAGAGAAATCTCAGTGAGATAACGTCAGGGCTTCCCCAGAAAAGCAGTTTATCATGTTCCCTGTTAGTGTAAAATTATCATCTGAATAATATAAATTAGAATAAAAAAATGGGTTCTAGGAAAACGAACACACACACAAATACAGCAAATGGGGAAAATCTACGTCTCCATTAATACTTTTGATTAATAGAATAATGCTCTAATTGCAGATTAAGATAATCTCAATATCTGAGCATTTATTCTTTCTCATTTCTTCACTACAAAATTCACCAATGTAACATTTCATTAAATTACTACTGTACTTACCTTTCACACTACCTCTCTCCATATTTTATTAACATTATTCCCCATTTCTTATAATTTGCTATATAAATTAACCTTCACAATATTGTGACACATAAACACCTCATCATATTAATTACCTGGCTTTCGGTGTCCTCCTGCACACTGGTCAATTAGAAGCATGAGAAGGAAGCCAAGGACAAGTGGCGGACCAACAAGGTTGTGCAACTCCATGTGACTGACATGGTCGTCGTGTGTCGAGTCACTGTGTGCATCACTTGGAGTAACTGTGTGACAGAAATTCAAGCAACATTAAAACAAAGTGGTCAGTCTAGAGTTAAAGTGTATATTAAAATATTATTCTTAATGCTTTGATAGATTTTTGGCCCCCATGGCAAAGAGATGGAATATACTTACACTAATACATTTTAGTATTTTCACCAACTAGATAGCAACATGCAAGATGCATGTTATAGCAGGAGCCACACACACAGACAACACTACTTATTCTACACTTTAGAGAGAGAGAGAGAGAGAAAGATGCCTGCACAAGCGAAAATGGTTACCTGGGAGTCACCCGCCAAATACACAGCGAAACTACGACGTTGCTACAACATTCGAACAAGGTTTAACACCTTCTAACAATTGTAACAATATATTAAGTTGTAACAACATTCTAATACAACATAAAAATATTATAGCTTTATTACAAGTTGTTACAAGGGAATGATAGAGACCATTACGTTGCGTGCTTGCAGGATAGTCAACTGTTGTTAGTTGAATCTTGGGGAAGTTCATCATTAGTTTGTGGGACCTTGGGAAGCCTGACCAGCAACCTTTCCGAGACAATAGGAAACTACTTTTCTTTATTAATCTATTACATGAATCCACTATTTTGAATAGTCCATTCCTCTCTGGTAAATGACCCTTTCCCATGCCAGCCACAATTCAGAATAATTTTTGTTTAATTAAGCTTTTTTTTTTTAGATCTTTCCCAAATCTTTATTTACTTATGTAATACAGTATATGCATTTTTTATTTCCAACTGACTTCCTGTTGACGATTGTGGTTCCACCTCCATGCACTACATCAGTACATTATGTCTTCAGTGTGAACTACAGTATTGTATATGGCAAGAAGAGATACAATTATGCTTTGATAAAGATTTTCCGAGCCGAAGGAAAAACCATAAAACAAGGCAGAGAGAGAGAGAGAGAGGAAGACCAACACCTGGTCAAGAGGCCAGCATGGCTCGGAAGGATCATGTGCTGGTCGATGGTGAAAAACACACGAGACAACTTGCAGAATGGTGCCAAGGAAGAGTAAAAACTGAACGCAAACAACAGCAGCTTCACCAATGCCGAGAATTAAATGGTGACGGTATAAGGCATGAGATGCTGATCTGGAAAAACAATCACCATAAAGTGTTCAGTTCCACAGGGTGAGGAACCAAAGCGACCCTCCTTCCCCCTTAGTTCAGGCAATGAACCACTGGAAAACAGAGTGGAGCAAAAGCACAGATTCCAAATGGAGTTGAATCCTCCTTAGGCCATAACACACAGCCACAAACTCTAGCACCATACTGTGTGCCAAAAGCCAGATTCAAATCAAAAGGAAGAACCTTGAAGCAGTAAGCCTAGTGACCCACCACAAAACCTAATCATCCCATTAACCTGGGATGAATGGGGACACATCAGCACATGTCCATGAGGTCCAGAACACCATCCAAGCCCCAGCCTGTAACACTAAGTAGACGAACTAAGGTGGTCATGTAGAAGATAGACAGTGAATGAAGGTGAGCACACCTGAAAAACTGAGGATATACTACATGTCTACAGAATAATCAGAAACAACCGGGACACCCACCAAACCGATGAACTGAACTCGACCATGCCCTTGGTATATTTAACACCTTTATCCTCTTCTCAGATCTAACATGCATTTAGTTGTACGTCTCCAATTTTTCTAGTTCATTAATGTACTGTTTGAGATATGTGCACCATATAACCACTGCATATTCCAATTTTTATCTCACAAAGGTCATGAACAATTTCTTTAATATTTCTCCATTCATGTATTTAAAAGCAATTCTGAAGTTGGAGAGTGTAGCACAGGTTCCTCGCACAACGTTCTTTATGTGGTCCTCGGGTGACAGTTTTCTATCCAGAACCACCTTTAGATCTCTTTCTTTATTAAAATTGTTTGAAAATTTTCACATAATTTGTAAGTTGTGTGTGGTCTGTTTTCTCCTATTCCACATTCCATAATGTGGCATTTATTCACATTAAATTCCATTTGCCAAGTGTTGCTCCAAATGCTTATTTTTTCCAGGTCTTCTTGAAGGGCATGAGAATCATCTAAGTTTCTTTTCCTCCTTAGTAGCTTGGCACCATCAGCAAACACGTTCAAATAGCCCTTGAATTTTTTTCCTGGTAGATCACTTATATAAACAAATGAACATTACTACATATAAAGAAACATGTTATTCTAAATGACAAATACTTACAATACTTGTAAAGATGCACCATGATAGATCCTTCATTCTTAAGCTTTCCTCCCGTGCATTATTATCATAAACAATTTATTTGGCACATTGCATTACAGTACCAAGATTTACTTGTACATCTTCGCTTTCCCAATTTTACAAAGTTACCTCTAGGGCTCGCGTGCATGCTGAATAAAGTGTTTACGCCTTCTGGTATAATGACTGTCAGTGCTGTTCCCACGAGCAAGCCTGCACCCAGCACCGTAACCACTTCCATGCGATCCTGGAAAATTAAGATTCAGTTAAATAAAATAAACAAAATATAGCACAGTACCTGTATTAGAGTAACAGAATATTTAATTTCCACGAAATATGATATTTGTGGTTTCTACCAAACCTTAAACTTTTTCTCCCTAAAAACACTAAAGCTTCAAATTTGAGCAGTAATTTTATAATGCATTAAAATAAATGCACAATTACAATATAAATAAAAATTATAACTAACTGACCCCATTTATTAAAATAGGGTTTAATTAAGTCCAACACAAAATAGAATGGAGGAATATATCAAACAGGTGATAACTGCAAGAAATGCATGGATAGACTACATGTACAGCAAAACCTCCAAATGGTCATGAAATGACATTTTCTGGCAGGCCTCCAGCAACTCCTCTAAGCTTAGACCTGGTACCATCAAGTCTTAGCTAAACACACTAGGCATCCAGAAACTATCCATTGTTTCCTAGGGGATTGAACCAAAATCTGGCTCAATATGAGGCAATGAGAACAGGGAATCAGAGATTAACCACAAAATGTGGGGGGAAAACTTGCCAGAAAGCATAGGCACAATAAAACAAGTGACTGCTTGAAGGAAAGTAGACACTAGTAGGTTAAACAAAGTGTTTTATTGTTCTAAGAATAGAATGTGTCAGTAAATATGAGCATTACATCTTTGAGCATAGCGATGTTCAACACATTTAACTACATAAATTCCTCAAATTACACATTATTGAATAATACGACAGCAAAAGCTAGTTAAAAAACAGAGATTTAAATAATTATGTAAGAATATCTTTGCAGCAACTCTTCTACTGCAAAAATGTGTGTGGTGCTAGGGTGACCTTGAATTGTGGTTACATGATTATACAGGTAACTCACCAAGCTTAGTTGTTCATTATGGTACACAAAATATAATTACTGTATACATATAATGTGTGAATATAGTATAATACCAGAAAAAACGCCCTTTTTAATGTTCTAAGGATATGACATGGTATTCGTGTCACTAAATATGAGCACCATATTTTTTAGCATAGCATTGTTCCATACATTTAACTACTATATATAAATTCCTCAAATTACACACTATTAAACAGCATTACTGCAAAACTAGATAAGTAACCATTCAGACATTGAAATAATTATGTAAAATTACACTTGCAGGAACTGCTGCCTCACAGGACAGCTGGTACAAGCATCTCAGAGTGCCTACTCTGAGGGAATGTAGATGTAGTACAGTCAAAAATTTGTAGTCATGTTGCATGCATTTGTGGGGTGTTAAGATTCCTCCAGGCTCCGTGGTTCACCACCATTTGGACTGATCTGTGGTTCACTGTCTCAACCGTGGGGGTTCGCTTCAGTCCCCTGCCTCTTTGTAGCTAGACTCTTTGGTTAGCTCTTCTGCTAGATTCTTGGGGTTTGGTTCTCCACGTGGTTCATTTTAGGGAGTCCCCAACATCCTTGCGGACATTCTGTTCTAGCTTTTCCTCACGGAGTAGGCATTGATTCCTCCCTCCTGTGGCTTGTAAGGCATTGGGGCATAGAGACGTGGACCAGTTTGCATCGGTGTGGTCTTGGTACCTTTATCGTTACAGAGTGGCTTTACCCCTAGCGAGGCCCTCATGGTAGATGCCTTTCAGCTGGACTAGTAAAGGTGGGGTTCCTGTACTCTTTCTCTCAGTCCTGTTGTTGCTCCGGGTCCTGGCACAACTGCAGTTGCACATTATATAATGTGCCTTATTCATCATTACTAATCTTGCTACCATGATTGCATCTTTAATTAACATACATACATACATATACACACACATACACAGAGTGCTACCATCTCTGGTGCAGTTGTGGGAGACCCATTGCCTTGGAGAAGCAAATAGGGAGCATTCTGAGGACAATTTTAATTTTTTTGATATCTTGAGTATTTGCTTTCCCCCTACCACTCCTATTTCTAGCGGGAGGGTCCCGGTAGTTCAGTCAGGTTTGTTCTTGACTCTCAATCGAGAATTCTGGGTTCGAATCCCCGGAAGGACAGAAATGATTGGGTGCATATCCTATCACCTCATGTTCCTGTTTACCTAGCAGTACAGTAAATAGGTACTCTGAAGCTAGCTTGTTTGTGGGGTTGCAGCTTGGATGAAGTCTAATTTGATTTGGGGAGAAGCCTAATGTTTATAAATACCCTCTGAATGCCTGTCCCCCCTGACACAATGAATTATTATTATTATTATATAAGAACATAAGAACATAAGAACAAAGGTAACTGCAGAAGGCCTATTGGCCCATACGAGGCAGCTCCTATTCTATAACCACCCAATCCCACTCATATACTTGTCCAACCCGTGCTTGAAACAATCGAGGGACCCCACCTCCACAATGTTACGCGGCAATTGGTTCCACAAATCAACAACCCTGTTACTGAACCAGTATTTACCCAAGTCTTTCCTAAATCTAAACTTATCCAATTTATATCCATTGTTTCGTGTTCTGTCCTGTGTTGATACTTTTAATACCCTATTAATATCCCCCCGGTTATGTCCATTCATCCACTTGTAAACCTCTATCATGTCACCCCTAACTCTTCGCCTTTCCAGTGAATGCAACTTAAGCTTTGTTAATCTTTCTTCATATGAAAGATTTCTAATTTGGGGAATTAACTTAGTCATCCTACGCTGGACACGTTCAAGTGAATTTATATCCATTCTATAATATGGCGACCAAAACTGAACTGCATAATCTAAATGGGGCCTAACTAGAGCAAGATATAGCTTGAGAACCACACCAGGTGTCTTGTTACTAACGCTGCGATTAATAAATCCAAGTGTCCGATTTGCCTTATTACGAACATTTATGCATTGATCCTTTTGTTTTAAATTCTTACTAATCATAACTCCCAGATCCCTTTCGCAATCCGACTTCGCAATCACAACACCATCTAGCTCGTATCTTGTAACTCTATCATCATTACCTAACCTCAGAACTTTACATTTATCAGCATTAAACTGCATCTGCCAATCCTTTGACCATTTCAAAACCCTATCTAGATATGAATGTAAACTTTATTGTACATGATTACGAATTGTGTAACATTAACTTATACATTCCATAATTATACAGACTATACATATAATAAGAAAATCGTAACCTGCTATTTTTAAAACGTAAACATGAGACCGAAATATTCAGTCTACGTTTTCTTGGGTTTTTAAAATTGTGGGTTATTATTTTCGTTATTTAGTGCACTACTGAACTTTATTCTTATAAATATATTTATACATATGTTCCCCCTCATTTGCTACATATTTCTGCCCGCAACGCTGTGCGTATTAGTGACTTTAGGTATTGTATGTACCAGCTCTATCTATAAATCCAACATTATGTTTGTAAATCATCTTCTATGTACCTACTTTTACCTAAATAAACATTTTGAATTTTGAATTTGAATATTTTTCCCCGGTACTCCTCAGGAAGGCTCGCGGAACACCAGTTGCAAAAACACTGACCCATCCACACCAGTTGCAAAAACACTGACCCATCCTAATTTTCCGAGTAAATACACAAAACACAACATCTAATAAGAGGAATATATTGCACCTCTGACATGGTCATAACGAGAGGAATGGAGCCAGCTGTGTAGCATCCCACCAACATGGCCAGAGACAAGAGGGTCAACACCACCACGGGCTCCATCTTCCACACTCTGTGGCGCCTCCACTCTGGTCCTTGTCGACGCTAATATCAAGAGGCCATACAAACACGGCCGTGGAATATGTGAGGAATGTGCTAGGGGTGTGTGGGAGGGGAGAGGTGTGTGAGGTGTGTGTGTGTAGGGGGAGAGGCCCGCTGCCAGCTGGTCCTGTATATACACTGCTCCAGGTGACACAGGTAAACACCGCCGGCTTTTGTTTCTCTGCCGGCGGGGAAAAACCGCAGGAGGGGAAAACCCCTATTATGCCACCGCTGATGTGATTTATTTATTTATTTATTTATTTATATACAAGATGGTACATTGGGATTGTGAGGATACATTGTATAGTAATTACAATCTTGTAAAGCCACTAGTACGCACAGCGTTTCGGGCAAAAATTGAATCATATTATCTCATGCTATTATGCCACCAACCCTTATTATGCCACCGCTGATGTGATTTATTTATTTATTTATTTATTTATTTATTTATTTATTTATTTATTTATATGTATATACAAGATGGTACATTGGGATTGTGAGGATACATAGTATAGTAATTACAATCTTGTAAAGCGCAGCGTTTCAGGAAGAAATTGATTCATATTATCTCATGCTCGCAGGAAATGTCCCTTGTACTTGTCACTAAAGTTTCTATAAAATTGGCTTTTTTTGGGTTGTTTAAAAATAGAGGGTTGCCGTGCTTATGGAAAAGTTAGCAGGATAAATTTTATAATTTGCTTACATATGTTGTTGGGGGTTTTGGCTCGTATTTTATTATAAAACCCAATCAGTTAGAAGCTATTTTACAAATAAATTTAAATTTTCAGTTAAACTTTGTAGAATATGGATATTATGTTATAAACTGTATATATATATAAAACTTTCCTGACAATAGTTTAGGGGAAGGAGAGTGTTATTCCCTAGGTCTGACAATTTGCAAATTATTTTGGCTATTTAAATGGAACCTTTTCACATTTTCGTTTGCATCAATATATATTTCGCAATATTTAGCAGGCTACATATCACAAATATTAAAAATATACATTTGTTTAGGCCGAGCTATACCATTAATCTTCATATTCCAATCAGCCTGCGGGTTTGACGTGGCCGATGAGGGAGGCTATGCGGCGCTCCGTAATATTACTGGCCCTTGTGAGTATATTACACCCTCCCAGCACATGCTACTCCCCTGACACACGGGGCGCTTAACCACCAAGCTGTTGCCCGTCCATAATGAGCGACAGGTTGAGTAGGAGGTCGGTAATGAGGATAAGCGCCCTCTCCGGACGTCTGGGGTCAGGGATGGAGTTGACCCACAACGTTAACTTGTGTAATTTCTAGCTGTTAGGGTCCCTTGGGTTCTGAGGTCCCGGGCCCCGCCGGTTGTCCCCTGGGTGGGTAGACTGGTATGGTTTGGTGTGGTATTTTTGGTATATTGACGGGTGGTAGCAGGTCTGTTTTCAGACGGCACCGCTCCTGTGCCAGGTAAGTCCACTACGGGCTCACCATAGCCCTTGCTACTTGGAACTTGTTCCGAGTAGCTTGATCTATAACAACAACAACAACAGGTCTGTTTGCTCACCATCTGGTCACCATTTGGTCCGGGAGACATCTCCCGTCACGCAGGGTGCAGTCGCGCCTCCACAGATCTCCAGTATCAGCTCTTGATACTGGTAATGGCTCAAAAGGGCCACCACTTACGGGCTATTCATGCCCGTGCCACCTCTTGGGTGGCTTAATCTTCATCAATCAATCAATCGTCTGTTTGCTCAGTTCTTGAGCCGTTAGTTACCGGGTCACTCTTATTGACCAGTTAACAGACGATGGTAATGGGCTGGATATCGTGGGGCATAATGGGTATAACCCATCCTGGAGCATCATATCCTGGTTGGTATGTGCATACTTGTTCACTTAAAAATGGCAATACAGGTTTCTATGAACAGGGGACTGCTTTCAAGATTTTTAAACTCTTAAGTCCCTAAATGGTTGGGTGTGTTTCCTATCCCCTAATGCACCTGTTCACCTAGTAGTAGACCAACCCAGGAGTTAGCTTGTGGGGGTTGCAACCTGGGGAGGGGTCAGTAGTTCAACCTTAAAGGGGGGGGGGGAGACCTTGATGTAAGGGGGTCCCGGTAGTACAGTCGGGTTCGTTCTCGACGCACAATCGAGAATTCCGGATTCGAATCCTGGGCGGGACAGAAATGGTTGGGCATATTTTCTATCGCCTAATACATCTGTTCACCCAGCAGCAAGTAGGTACTCAGGAGTTAGGGGCTGGTTGATACCTGGTTGAGGTATCAACCAGCCCCTAACTCGGGACAGATCAGTAAGTCGACTCTGGGGGGTTTACACTTTGTTTATTTGCTGTTTGTCCCACACCTCTCAATATCAGATCATTCTATTGATGACTCAAACATTTATTTATAAAATTCCAATCATACTTGTATACTTTTTCAGTTGTGCGGGGCTGTGGTGGTTAGCTTGGCAGCGAAGTCCCATACGTATGTCGAGAGTGTCACTGATCCAAAGGTGAGGTCAAATTGATTGTTTTAATTCCTGTTATATCACAAAACTGCTTTTAGATATTGTTGCACAAGTTGTACATAGAAAATGTAGTTTGCTTAGCCAAAATCTTCTATTATATAAAGTGAGCCTTCTTGCCTTGTCTGTAACAAATACTGTATACATGCATATGTCCCGGATATCTCGCCATGAATAATATGAACTGTAATTATTTTTCTAGTGATTAAATATTTAATAATTATTGATGCAATCCCATGATGTATAAAATTATATTCTATATTGTAGTGTATAGTATTCTTTATTATTTGAACCTTTTCAGGTTTGAAATTCCAGAAATGATACACACCACATGTATTGCTCCATGTTATTGAAGTTTGTTTGTTTTTATTCAGGAATGGAAGAAACTTCTCAGAACTCGCACAAATGTCCTGGTCTTGTATTCCCGAGGCAAAATTAAACAGGAGATAAGCAATGTTTTCAACGAGGTTTCTCGTGAGCTACGCGGAACAGCCACTTTAGTCCACGTTGATTGTTCTGGGTGAGTCCTGATTGCCTGTTAGTTAATATATTAAGGTGTATTTGTATCAGATTTACCAAAATGATGAACCTATAACATACTCTGTCCTTTCTCCTTTCTGTCCTGCTATTAGGCAAGGAATATGAAGGGACCAAGTGGTATAATTCTTAGTTGAAGAGGTGTGTGTACAAGTGAGTGAAGAGAAAGACAAACACACACACACGTTTTAATTGCCATAAACGCATGACCTTACTGTGCTGAGTAATGGACTGCATGTTATTGGGTATAGTGTAGTAGATAAATTTAAAAACTGGTAGAGAGAGAGATTAGCAAGATTATATATAATGTACAGCATCACAGAGCAAGAGCATGCAGTATACATATTTGATTTTGGTGTTATACCTGAATTAGTGTTCTCTTTATCTTGTCAGTGATGGTAAAAAGCTGTGCAAGAAGAACAAAGTAGAACCATCTCCATATGTAATGAAGCACTACAAGGATGGAGATTTTCACAAGGATTATGACCGCAGAGAAACAGTTCAGTCGATGTCGACCTTCTTGCGGGACCCTTCGGGAGATGTTCCATGGGACGAGGATGAGCAGGGTGCCGATGTGGTTCACATAAATGACGTTAATGTGAGTATTGTCAGGGACAGTTTGTATCGATGAGCAATCTTCATGTAAGTTTGTGTAGGTTCATGTAAAATATACTTGAAGCTACAGATAGTGCACGGTCATAGATATTTATGATAAATCCTTATACTGTATAACAATTTCCTTATCATACGTCCCATTGTTCATACAAACAGCTCTTAACTTGTATTAGAGCTAAAGAAGGGAGTTATCGGGGAAAAGGGCCAAGTCATAACTACTATATAACACTTGGAAGGGGTCAGGATAAAGATTTGAAATGGGACGGGGAGGAAAGGAATGATGCCCAACCATTTGGACGGTCGGGGATTGAACACCAACCTGCATGAAACGAGGCTGTCACTCTACCATCCAGCCCAAGTGGTTGGGGAAAGCATGTGTTAAGCAAAAACCAACTAAATCTAACTTAAAAGTGAAGGTGGAAAACTTTGAACTATGATCCAGAGAGCTCCAGAAGTCTTGTTTTCTTGCAGGGGCACCCTCAGTGGCTCCCAGGAGCTAGCTACCTAGATAGCTCTACGTATCTCATACTCAAACAGGGCCCTTTCAATTCATAAGAAGCATTGCCGGCTAGAAATTGAATTTGGTCTGCTCAATAGAGGCACAGGAAATCTGGAGATGCTACATCTAAAATGAAATACATGGTACAAAACACACTCGCTCATAGAAGGAAAACATGTGAAAAGTCAGAGAATTCTGATGTCTGGCTACCTGACATTTAGTGAACATGGCCAAGCAAATATAGCATCAGCCAGGAAAATAATGGGATGGATTATGAGAACGTTCAAATCCAGGGATCCCACCACAGTGTTAATACTGTACTATTTAATTCACTAGTGGTCCCATCTTGAGTGCTGCTTGGCACTCGCTCCCCTTTTCAGAGCAGGAGAGATTCTATTCCTTCTGGAATAGAAGGAAGGCAGAAAACATATTTGGGACCCATAGACATGATAAAGCATCTAAATTATTGAGATATCTCAAAGCTCTCAAATTATACTCGCTGGAAAGGAGTTGAGAGAGGTATCAAATAATGTATGTACTATACATAATTACTGGAAGGCCATATCCCAAATTTGCACAATAGAATAGCATCATTCTGGAGTTGTAGATACAGAAGGAAATGCAAAATAAAGCCACTTGGGAGTAAAGATGTCATAGGCATAGGCATTAACTCCATTGTTGATGCACCTGGTACATGGAAACCATCTTATATAGCTTCAGGGAGCCCCAGTGGCTCACCTAGAAATTAATATTTCATTACATTTCATGCTGTTTATTTGTATTTGCTGTATTTTTTCTATGGCACTCGGTTGCACCCATTCATTCCTTCTGTCCTAACTTCCTTTTTACTATACAGAAGTTCTAGTCACAAAATGTGAAGTGGGCAGATTCTGGAACACTATTGACATGCAGATGTTGACACATTAGAAGACATAGTGGTAGGTTGTTGGAACGAGTTGAGAAGATGGTGGAGGGCCATCAGTAATTTCATAGCATAAAGTGATAAAGAGTACTGGGAAGATGGAACACCATGAATGTAGCGCTCATCCTGTAACTACACTTAGACAATTACCCGGTAGCACAGGAGACAATGGTTTGTTGATTTAGCAATTGGCAGTTTCATTGACTTTGAGAAGTACTTTGAAGAGGACTGGGTGTAGTTGAAGAAGCCTTCTCAAGGCTATTTTTGGCTAGATTGAGAAAACTTCAGTTTCCTCCTTGTACCCAAATGGTGTATTTTAAAATTCACCAATTACTTTGGTGCTAAATGTCAGTCTCCCTTAATTAAACAGAGGACTTACCAATGGAAGCATTCAGTTGCCTTGCTCAAAAAGGAGCTTCTCACCTATTCTCAATGCTTTATTTTTCTTAAGTGAATGCCATGGCTGCCACATTAATCAAAATTTTGTGAGTGAAACATCAATTTATGTTTAGACATACAGTGGCACATCTGTTTACGAATTTAATCTGTTCCAAGAGACTGTTCGTACACAGAAAATTCATAAACGAAAATAAATTTTCCCATAAGAAATAATGTAAATTGAATTAATCCGTTACTCACGCCCAAAAATATTAACTTAAAAATACATTTCATAAAGAATACTACTCATTTTTGTTTAGTATACAGGTACCTTACCTTTATTGAGGACTCCTGTTGGTGTATGGAAGACGGTGAGGAGGGAGGGAGGAGGAGAGGTGTTAGTGTTTGAGGGGAGTCACCTTCCATTTTAACATCGGGCAGTGATGACATTTCTGGGGTACACACACTCTTACGTTTTGCAGGCATACCACTAGGACCTGGTTGTGGCTCACTGCTTGCTTGTCTTACTAAGAATCTATGTCTATACACACTTGGGAGTCGGTTGGACGAGCGGACAGCACGCTGGACTTGTGATCCTGTGGTCCCGGGTTCGATCCCGGGCACCGGTGAGAAACGATGGGCAGAGTTTCTTTCACCCTATGCCCCTGTTACCTAGCAGTAAAATAGGTACCTGGGGTGTTAGTCAGCTGTCACGGGCTGTTTCCTGGGGGTGGAGGCCTGGTCGAGGACCAGGCCGCTGGGACACTAAAGCCCCGAAATCATCTCAAGATAACTCAAGATAACTTGTTTTTCCCTACATTTTAACACTTGTCTGTAGCAAGACATCACATTGTCATTAAGAATGTTAATGCAATGGCCTGCTTCAGCTTTATCTGGGTGAGTTTTTCAGGAAAACTTTGCAGTTCTTCCCATACTGCACACATTTTCTTAAAGAGGAAGGAATCTTCTACTGTCTCTACTCACAACTATTTTCTTAGGTTGAATTTTACCACTGACTTTCTTGGGACCCGTGGCATGATATATGATAAAGCTTTTATGTTCAGAAACCAAAAAAAAAAAAAAAGCAGAAACACAATGAAATTCTTCACAAAGAATTCAACCGTGGTCATCACTAGGCGAGATACACTGGTAAACTGAGCGTGCTGTGCCCAGCACAGTGGCGTGCTCGTCGACCCATACATGTATCAACAAACTCGAAATCCAAGGCAAACCTCATAAACCGAATCAAATTTTTCGAGGAAATTGACCTCGTATACCAAAATATTCTTGAAAAGGGGCACTCGTAAACCAAGGTTCCACTGTATTCAGGAAACGAGACAGTCGACTTATGTCATGCACCAGAACGAGTGCATCTCAGGGCTGGGACATCAAATGACAACCCACATCACCATAAGAGTTAAGAAGTGTAAACATATTTAGTGGAGGATTTCCTGGCTAGCACACAGTACTGTAGTACATAATATCCCCTCTGGGAAATGGGGTGAGGTGAGGGTGAAATTCTAAGATGTTTTTTTGTAGATGTACTATAATTGTAATGTAAATAAAAAATTAAGTATTTACAGGGCCTATATAATGTATTTTTAATATCTGACTATTTTTTTGTGGAAACTCCCTGCCCTTGAGTGAGTGGCCACATGCAGATTTTTTCCCAAACATTTCAGATGACTTCATGATTAGACTCTTGTAGCTGAAGCTGAAGTATATGCCAAAGAATTAAAGGTGGTTTGACTACAGTTACTGTAAGAGTGAAGCAGTCGCTACTCTCCTGCACTGAGAACAAGTATGTGTGTGTAAACATTGTGGGTTGCTCCCAACAAGCACATACAAGTGAGAAAGTTATAATGAAGAAATAAGAACAATGGAAAGGCACAAGAAAGATTGAGGATAATAAAGCTTAGGTTATTGGATGGGCAATATGAATGGGGAGAATGTGGAGCAGACCACAGAGTGGCACTATAGTATGAATGGAGCCCAAGCAAAGAAAATGACTATGAAAGGATAGCTTTGTTACTTTCCTCAGGATACACTTTAAGGGGGTGACTGAGACGACCTGGTCTGATCTTTTTTTAAACAAAAAATACAGTATTTTCATATCTATCCGTGTTCCATTTCCAATCTCGGTTGGTTAGAGCAGATGCACTAAGTGTCATGAACAAAAGTTGTCAAATGCAGTTTTGTATTCCAAAAAATGAAAAAAGTGAATTGATTTCAAATTCTCATTAAAATAAAATAAAAATTAAAAATTTTGCCAGTAATAATGATTTAATTTGACCCATTCTCGGTGAAATCTCCCATTTGAGGATTTGTTACTTTTTCTCAAAACATTACTACACTATAAAAGCTACTTTATCCACTTTTGTTTTTGTAAGAAAGAATCCTTAACATCATCTTTCAGTGTCTGAAGAGTAGCAGTTCCCACATGATGAGGGTTGTCTTAGTCTGGGGCCTGGAGATGACAGTGAAGAGTCCTTTTGCCTTGCACAAGAAATAATGTTCTGTCAAACTGCTTTTGCAAATTGATGATAACCTTCCCTAATTTTCTATTCATGGTTTCTGTTTACACTTTTAAGTGGGAACGGCAGTATACTTTGCACTCCCGTTTGTTGTGCATACACGTTCGTTCTTTTATCACGAGTCACTTGTAACTGATTGCCTATGTGGAAGTGAAGCGTCAATAATTCATTTGGCATGTGATTGAAGCCTTGCTCTTTTTCTTGTTTTTGGTTGTTTGAAGTTGTGTACTGTATATTGTGAGTAACTTAGTAATTAACTTGTTCACTTTGGTTCATGGAGTGAAATTTAAGGATGAGAATGAGTGGCTGTGTGCACTTGATCCATTCTATGCCATGAAAATTTTGTGAAATATAATGGAAACAAAGAAATCTGTTAGATTTTTGTTTCTGGCAACTTAAAATAACTTTTTTTTCTTTTTCTTCAGGCTCTTACAAGATTATTAAAAAAGGAGAGGACTTTTATGATGATGTTCTATGCTCCGTGGTGTGGGTTCTGCAAACGCCTGAAGCCAGACTACTCCTCTGCAGCCACTGAACTCAAAGACACTCACACCCTTGTTGCCATGGACGTCAACAAACCAGAAAATTCTGCGGCCAGGATTAAATATAACATTACTGGCTTTCCGACGCTTGTATATTTCGAGTAAGTCTGCAGAGACGTTATCCACTTCAGTATTGTAGAGTCTTGAATGATTTTATACCTTAAATATATAAAAGGCAATGCACGTAATATAAGATTATACTGTACTTATTTGTGGGTGTGTCACTTTACCGAGTTAAAAACATTAGCGTCACTATTTTATTTGCAAGATATGTTACAATAATGTGGTTGACAACAAGTAACTCAACCCACATATGCAGGCGATGAGTCACAATAACGTGGCTGAAGTATTACTACTATCCCCTACACCTGACTTTCCTCCTGAGCTCTCTCTTGCCTATTTATTGCCTGACCCTACCTCCTCATCACAATCGACTTGAGAATGGTCCAGGACGGACCGAAACGTCGTCGTCCCTTCAACTTCTAGTGTGTGGTCTGGTCAATCAACCCACATATGTTGTATCAACTTCCCCATGTCCCAATCTCAGACCAGGCTTCCTGGTTGGTAGTCGGGTTAACTAGTGTACTTCAGAACATTTTATGGTTAAGAAATTTCAGAGTTTGCCTTACATTACTATTTGCCAAGTACACTGAGAATATTAATTTTTCACTTCAGAAATGGTGTCCCAAAGTATACATATGAAGGAGAGAATAATAAAGCAGGAATTGTTGCATTTATGAAAAATCCCGGTAAGGCACCAGAGAAGCCCAAGGACGAGGTTTGGTCAGATACACCAAGTGACGTGACTCATCTCACAGACACAACGTTTCATGAATTCATAAAGGTGAGTGATGGTTTGCTATTATTTTTCCTAGTTTTCTTTGTTCAGATTCAAAATTTGTGCTTACCATATTTGCAGTTCTCTTTCTGATAGCTATCTCTTGTTTTCTGTACCTATTCTCCTATTTTCATATTATCAGTATTGTGTATTACCATACATAACTGTGTAGCAATGGTCATGCACATTGTGATTGGTGTCTCTCTGGATTGTCCTCTTTTTTTTTTTTGATGCTCTTCTTCCAGAGGTAGTGGGGGCATTCTCCTTGGTGTGTCTCACGTGTCAGCATGCTGCGTGGGCCCAGAGTTTCTCTTCAGCTTAGCTCTCAACTTTGCCTGACTACCATTTTTGCTGATATTTGGTCACTGGGGTTTAGGCATTCGAACAGGGCTCTGGCAGCCCAGTATTTGGTTAAAGTTCTTGGTCCCAGTTGTCCATGTGTAGCTTTGGGCTGTCTACGGCCTTCCTTCTCTCATTCGTCTTAGTACCTTCTCCCTCTCCTCCTCTGGTTAGTCCTGTATTTTCATTCTCCATGGTTAGTTTGCTTCAGGGACTCATCGGAAGGCTCTCCCAAAAACTCGGTAGTGAATGTAATGAAATGCCTCATTGTGGTAGTCCCATTGGCTCCCTGATCCTCATCCTTCTTTCTAGGTTCTTCGGTGGGTAGATGATGATCTCCAGAACTGATCAGGGTAGCCTGGTAGTGGTCTGAATCCTGGGCTGAGCTGCCTGGTGGCAGCTCTTGGAACTAACAAGTTCAAGCTAGAAATCAATTGTTTCTTTTGGATCACTTGTGTAGTTGTATGACGATTTTCAAGGCTTCATTTTCTGTGAACCCCACAGTTGTATGTAACAATTCACTGACTTGACTTTCTGAATGCTCTTCTAGCGGGGGAGTGGCGAATTGTCACTTGCTTCCTGCACCTCTGTGAGGAGGACCAGGTTCTGCCTCTGGTCCCAGTAGGCCAAATAGAACTGCAACTGATGTAACTTTTAGGTGGAGCAATCTCAGCAAGATCACTTCTGGGAGCCACTGGAGCTTTACCTTTAAGAGGCACTTCATTACATTCAATGCTAGGTTTGTGTGTTTTATCCCAGCATTCTAGTACTGCACATTGGTGTATGGAATAGCATCGGTCTAGCAACTTCTTGACAAAATGATTCAGAGCCAATTATATTTAACCAGAATTTTAGCCAGATTTGTAACAAAACTATTCAGTTGTACATAAAATTAGTGAATGAAGACATGTTATTTTTCTTCAAGAGGCTACATTGTAATCTCTCCAATTATCAATGCAGGGTGAAGCATCTGTACTTGTAATGTTTTACGCTCCCTGGTGTGGACACTGCAAGCGCATGAAGCCGGAGTACACTACTGCTGCTACAATACTAAAAGAAAAAGGGGTCTGTAGAATGGTTCACATTTTGTTAAATTGAATATTCATACTGTATTCAGCGGTGTCCCCTTCATCTACTATATTTCTTTTAATTTTAGAAGAATTGAAATAGCTTCTGTTTATATTAAGTAGTAAGTTTATAATTGTAATGGCTTGTTTTTCTTGATAATTACCTTATCTTATATTAAGTAAATTTGTATAAAAATAAAGTATAATTATCACGCGTGTGTAAAGTAGTAAAAAGTAAGCTAAAAGACAGCACGGAATTAAGTAATACTGTAGCTGTTCAATAGAAAGATATTTTGCGTTCATAATTTTTATATGATTATATAAATTGCCATCAGATTACTAAACTGTATGTTTTGACACAGATTCAAAATGTAATTAAAATTCCTACACTTGAATATTATGGGCTTTACTGTATTCATTTCAGATTGTGGGCCGGCTAGCTGCTGTCGACACCACTAAGGAAACCAAGCTGGGTTCCGAGTTCAATATAAAGGGCTATCCCACTATTAAATACTTCAAAGATGGAGAATTTGCTTTTGATGTTTCTTCAGCAAGAGAGAAAGACAAGATCATAGAATTCATGTCAGACCCAAAGGTGAGTACTAGTATTTTATTGCAGTTTTAGAATAATAATAATGGTAATGGAGCTTATTGACTACAGTATTTAAACACTGGACACGTTACTACAGGCAAGAGTGAGAATTGAATATAGCGAGTGGATAACATCTGATTCTACATTTCCTACATAAAGTTCATTGAATGGCCAGGTATTTAATATGCATCTAAAAACTGATCAAGTAAAAGATGTGTTCTGGAATGAAGAAAGTTTTAGTATGGACAATATCTTACGTCTTAGCGATGGAAAAATTCTGATTGGGCTTTATCTCGGAATTTTGAGAGGAACACGTACATTACAAAATAAGAATTTTTATACCTTAATATAGACACTATGAAGAAAGAGTATTTTCCACCAGACAAAGTTGATGTTTGCAGGATAGAAATTAACGACATAGTGAAAGCCTTACCAAACCCATCAGCAGAATCGGCGTCACATGTATTTTACAGATTTGCATTCTAAATTTACTGTAGCTTTATTTCCAAATTTGTAATACCTGCTTTGGTGAACATATTATACTACATTGTTCTACACTTTTATTTTCAATGTATAATTTAGTAAAATACTTAATTATTTGTGGATAACTGTACTGTATTTTAACAATTTGGTTTGTAACAGATAGATGTTGAAAAAACCAAAGTAGTTTTTTGTAAAAATTTAATACAAAAACACTTGTTACAAGATATACAACAAAAGTCAATACAAGAATACAGGTTGTAGACCATACTTCAAATAATAAAGTAATACAAAATTTCATATTTCTATTGTCTTGGGGGGGGGGGGGGGAGTTGCTGCCCCTCCTTCTTCAAAGGGAAATTTACGGAGGGTTCACATTGTCTTCATTAATTGCCGTTCGTGTTATAAAATTCACTCCCGTCTTGCTCCTCGTCGGCATTTTGCCGTCGATGCGTTCCAAGACAGATAAAGCAAACAATTTTTAAATTTCATCACACCATCTTGAATTTTCCTGAAATTTGGTGAAGTCAGTAACTTCATAAATTTCAAATTGAGCAAAAAGTTTTACTTGTACTGTCACGTAGATCTATTGTTTAGCTGGGATATACTTTTCTTATTTTTTATTTAACTTAAAAGTAACAGTTACAAATTTTTTTAACAAATAGAGGGCAGAGGCCATCTGAAAATTTGCCCCTCTCCCCTCTTTCCCGTATCTCGGGAACTAATTGATCAATATTGGTAAAAATATACGTGAGGACTGTATAAAATAAAAGATAAATAATTTTAAATAAAACATAAAACATGTGTGAATAGACTCTGGCTTCCTGTCTCCCCGACAAACTAAATTATAATTATATCTTCAACTTCACCAAATTTCAAGAAAATCAAAGATGTTGCGGTGGAATTTTTAAATTGTTTTATCTGTCTTGGAATGCATCGACGGCAAAATACCGACGAAGAGCAAGACGAGAGTAAATTTTGTAACACTAACGGCAATTAATGAAGACATAATGTGAATCCGCTGTAAATCTTAAGTTTTTGATTAACTCCATAAATTTTCAGGAGCCCCCACCACCCCCGCCACCTGAGAAGCCGTGGTCAGAAGTGGAATCTTCGGTTGTCCACTTGACAGACGAGAATTATAAATCATTTCTCAAAAAGAAGAAGCATGTTCTTGTGATGTTTTATGCTCCATGTAAGTTAGTACTTTAGGTAATGTGATAAGAGATGATTGTCCTTTTCTGAATCCCATTTTTTTATTGTGAGTTTTATATTGGTCTTGTTTTTTATCTTTTTATTTTGTTTATGCATTTTTTTGGAGGCCATCTTTCTGTATTTATGCATTTTATTTATTTATATATGTCAATATATAATATAATATATAATACTGTATATATATAAAGAACGTACAATGGGTTGTGAAAGTACATGTGTACTTTCACAAATTCTTGCAGAGCTACTAGCACACATTTGATGTACCAGTTAATTGACAGTTGAGAGGCGGGACCAAAGAGCCAGAGCTCAACTCCCGCAAGCATAATTTGGCGAGTACATTACATATTACGTAAAGGGAAAATCACTTTCATTTTGAGTCGTGTAGTACCTTGTGGAATTAGCAGAGGCTTGAGGAATGTGTCTTAAAAGAAATAACTGCATTCAAAACTTCAACTACATGCCCTATTAGAAAGGGTTACATACATACATACTGTGTGAACTATATAGGACCAACCTGGATTCGTTGGAGTGAGGGACTCGTTGCAACTGGTGATGCCTTCAGGAGGCATTTATGTAATGCATTTTTATAGTACAGTACTGTATATTCAATTGCTGTAGTTGCAATTTTGTGCAAAATATGTGGAGCTAAGTTGAACTCTAATACTGGTTACGAGGTTTCTGTACCCACTAGAACTGCTTAGTGGTTCATAATGGTGCCTGCCTTTGATAATTACTTATGCCTAGGTGAACCATGCATCAGGTAAAAGTAAGTTTTCCCAACCATTTCTCTCCTCCCCAAGAATCAGCCCTCAATTGAGAGTTCAGAACATGTGCCCTGTAGTACAGCGGTCTATTTCCTTTCACCTGATGCCTTTGTTCACCTAGTAGTAAAGTAGGTATTTGGTAGCTAGGCAATTCTTAAGGATTTCATTCTATAGAAGGTCAGTACAGTAGTTTGCCAAGGAGGAACCTCCTGTCCCCAACAATAGAAAACCATAACACAGTGGAGGGAACAGTACATTGTGAGAAAACTTGTGGGTATTACAGGGGGCACTTATTGAAACAGAACTAACTAACCTGGAGATCATGCAGACCTTTTATTGCCCATATCCACTTAATAAAACATTATTGTAGTTACTTAAAGTCCCTCAAATTGTACTCCTTGAAGTGCAAATCTGCTCTCTGAAATAATTTCCTAAGATACCAGGAGAACACTATGTTCTCTTAAGATACAATTCTATAAACATGTGGGCCTAAAAGACCTAAAAGATCCTCCCTCCAAAAATATGAGGGGGGGGGGCATAACCAGTCGACCTCATATGACGCTCGAGAGGGAAACTTGATAAACCCCTCCTGAGGGTTTCCTGGTTTCTTAGGTTCTTTCCCTACTTATTATACAAAGCAGTGTTAGGATATTTTACTGATGAAGTATTTCAATTTTTTGCTTACCCTGTTTTTCTTTGCCCACGTGATTCAATTGGTCATTTCCTACCAGGGTGTGGCCATTGCAAGAAAGCTAAACCAGAATTTACGGGGGCTGCAGACAGATTTGTGGATGACCCAAAGGTTGAGTTTGCTGCAGTCGACTGCACGGCATACCAAGCTCTGTGTAGTGCAAACGATGTCAGTGGTTATCCCACTTTCAAATATTTTAATTATTACAAGAACACTAAACCATATAATGGGGGACGAACGGTAAGTTTTTATACCTTTTTTGTGTGTATCTGTATGCTGTGAGTATTTTCATTTCTTTACAAAAAAAATTGTCAATATTTTGCAGATTATGCTGTTAATTTCGAATATCTTGTTTATTTACTTTTTTCTTTGATTGTATAGGAAATAGATTTTGTGAAATTTATGGAAGATCCAGAGAATCCATTAAGTGGATCTCCACCTCCTCCTCCCTCTCCGCGAGAAGAGTGGGCAACCGTGCAGGGAGGTAACTTGATCCACCACCTAACGGAGGCCACATTTGATACGTTTATCAACAACAAGGAGGCCCTTGTTATGTTTTATGCACCGTGTAAGTATTAAAAGTCTTGTAATGTTTTCTAATTACTGTACCTGTATTTAATATGATAAACAGTTATTCCAATCTTCAGATGAATTTAATGTAGTCTGGCCCATAAATTGAGCAAATGGTGGTCAAATAACTCTGAGATAATTTTAAAATCTCCAGATTATATACATTTCTGCATGAATTAAATTGTGCCATACCCCAGTTTTCTTGAATAATATATTACTATTATTTACTGAGAGACTCATTAGTTGCTTCCTAAGATCTATAAGTTTTGTACCGCAAATGTGAAGAGCAGTCACGTCGGACAGCCTGATCGACCAGACTATTAATCAGGATTCCTGGTCAGAGACCGGGGTCACGAGAACATTGATCCCCAGAATCAACAGGTATAGACCATAGGGACAGAGAGGAGCAGTCTTGTAGAATGAAAGAGAAGTGTCACAAACTTAACAATATGTTCCAAGAGGCTTAAAAAATAGAACCAGGTGGAGTGTCACTTGCTTCCTGTGAGGGAGGGTCAGGTTATGGCTCTGATCCCTGGTAGGTTGAACTGAATTCCACGGCTGATGTGATCTAGTAGTTGGGAGCTATATCTGTGAAATAGCTTTAGGGAACCACTAGGGCTCATCCAAAAATTGGTATTTCATTAGAAATAATTTAATTAAGGTTTTTTTTTTTTTCATTCCCAAGTACATTTAGTAGCTGATCAAGCAGTTTCTAGGAAGGCCTTGCCTTATGTTGGTGTGCGAGAATAAATAAAAATAAATCGTTTTGTTGGTAATCTACAAGCAACAGTGTGTTTGATATTTATAGTATGTAAATATTACCAAAAATGATAGATGTGACAATCACTATATTGGCGCTTGATTTTTATTGATTATATTCCAGGGTGCGGCCACTGTAAGGCTATGAAAGGAGACTATGGTCAAGCAGCTGTTGAGTTGGCTGCTGAGGGTCAGACGGGTGTCCTGGCCACAGTCGATGCCACTGTTGAGCGTAGTCTAGCCACCAGGTACCAGATCCATGGTTTCCCTACCCTGAAGTTTTTTAGACGGGGTCAGCTGATTACGGAATATAATCGAAGTCGTAAAGCGGCCGATATTATCGATTTTATGAAGAACCCTCCGTTAAATGGCAAGGACGAACTGTAGATGTGAGAAGTCTAGTTTTTTTATGGATGTGTATATGAATGCTGTGTGTCATTTGTATGCTGAGTTCCTGCAAGTAGCTGAAATGTATATGATGAGCCTTAGTGAACAAGCCTTATGGAGATTTTCCCCAATTTTTTTAACTTCATATTTATATCAAATAATTTTTACCCAGTTCAGTATTGGAAACAGAAACTTAGCTATGTTCCCAAATTGTTGTTAGGTATGAAAATATGTCAAACATTGAAGAATATTATATCAGTATTATACTAAATTAAGACCACAATGTTAATATTGGATTTGTGGCCCACATTTTAACATTGTTTCAATTTACCTGAATCTCTATTAGTTCCTTGAAAGGTGAAGGATGAGAAGTGTATGTGGTTGTATGTACCTTGTTTTAGTAACTCCCCAAAAAAAACCATGGATCAATTTTTATGATCTGGTTTAGTACAAATTAAGAAACAAATACAGTACTGACATTTCATGGGATTTTCTATGAGCCATGTTTTAGAAAGGTGAGATATGGTGTACCCAGGACTGAATAAATTACTTAATTGTCACAAAGGAGATATTCCATTTGCTTGCATTTTAAATTGTATTAGAGATACAGAATAGAGTTGCAATGCAGTCAAATTTTAATTCTAGCTACCATAACTTTAATGTTCAGCCATTTCATTGTAAACACGCGTAGTCGTAACTGCCTGAAGTGTCATGAAGTTTCAGTTCAAAACCTCATCTAGGCTTCATGTGTAAAAGAGATGCATTGTAGATAACTTTTGAGATTAAGTGCTTCATTTCATAACTGTTGTTGAGAAGATGGCTGCATGTAAGCACTACCATTCAATGAGTGCCGTCCCTAGTGTGGCCCCGAGTACTTGGGCCACAATTTGCCGAGTTTACTTACTGAAGAGGATACTTCAGCCAAATGCCCATTGGCAACTTTAAAAATCTTATCATCTTGACAAATAAATAGGAAAGGTATCCTTGTAAAATGTATGCCAAGATGTGACAGAGAGATAAATAAGTAAATATTTACATGACTTACCTTTGAAATATATATACTTGTATTTGGCTTTTGACCAATGACACAGTGTACAGCTTTAACGGTGATACAAAGTGTATGTATTGTTACTTATTATAAGATTGCAACTATTGATGTCCCACACAAAATGATATATTTATTACTAATACCTTCATTGGTTTCTTGATTACTCGTGCCGAGAGGTGATTGAATGAGTATCTTAATGGTGTACTAATTACTTTTAACTATTTTTCCGCATAATATGTTGTAATTGTAATTCAGGGCGTACAGTGTTAATATTGTTTTAAGTTAAATTTGAGTTCACCGCCATTTAACGCTATTTATTTCTTAGGACCGTGATATGTATAAATTTGATCAAACTATACGGCACAAACTTTTTGACATAATTTTACAATTATAGCTTCAAATATATATATATATAAATGACTTTTAATAATATCCTTTCCAGAGACACGTCACTTTCATAAGCTCTATGAAACTCTACACCTTAAAGTGGACTGTCGTATGGTAGCTTATAGCACTGCATCTATTTAATAAGGATGAATAATTATACAAACTTTACCTATGTTGTAATCATTATTGTGGGAATTAAATTTTTTGCCAAGAAACTATTCAATCTTCTCATTTATTATATAATAAGGTGATTAGTGTGTGGCCCAATTGCCCTTGGTTTAATAAATTAATGTACAAATAATCAAGAGATAGAATCACTATAAATTTATCTTGATATCACTACTACCTCTAGTGTTACTTGTTATCAATAAAGCCAAGCATGCCCCAAGAAACACCTTGATCCTCTTAATGCTTAATGTGCTGTTATTAAGGAAGAGTTGTATACGTAACTGCCACTACTATCTTCCCCCTTCCCCTCGGGTGCTGTCTTGATGTGGTAAAGGGGCTCTTGTGCACTGCCTTCAGACAGGAGAGGATAACAGCAGCGGCATATGCCAGGTTGGCCAACATAAGAACGGCATTAAGGAACTTGTGTAAGGAAACATTCAGAACTTTGTATACCACATATGTCAGACCAATGCTGGAGTATGCGGCCCCAGCATAGAGTCCATATCTAGTCAAGCATAAGATTAAACTGGAAAAGGTTCAAAGGTTTGCCACCAGACTAGTACCCGAGCTGAGAGAGGTGAGCTACGAGGAAAGAGACTATGGGAATTAAACCTCACATTGCTGGAAGACAGAAGAGTTAGGGGAGACATGATCACCACATAAAAGATTTTCAAAGGAATTGATAGGATAGATAAAGACAGGCTATTTAACACAAGGGGCACACGCACTAACGGACACAGGTGGAAACCGAGTGCACAAATGAGCCACAGAGATATTTGAAAACTTTTTTAGTGTCAGAGTGGTTGACAAATGGAATGCATTAGGAAGTGATGTGGTGGAGGCTGACTCCAAACACAGTTTCAAGTGTAGATATGATAAGAGCCCAATAGGATCGGGAACATGTACACCAGTTGATTGACAGTCGAGAGGCAGGATCAAAGAGCTAGAGCTCAAACCCCGCAAGCACAAATAGGTGAGTACACACACACACATATATATATATATATACTGTCCCCCGACAAAACATTATTTCTAGGTCTTGTATGCACTATACATTTGAGCAAGCACTCCTCAATGTGAAACATAATACGCTGGTGAACACCGCCACCACACACCTGAACACCACCACCACACACCGGAACACCACCACCACCTCACACCGGAACACCGCCACCGTACACATAAATAATATACGAAGGCTTACACGCAGTAAACTTTAATGGGGGAGATCGATGGTGGGTTCTTATGTCGATGACTCAGACTCTAGATCGTGTTTTAGATACATATATTTTCCTAGGTTTAGTTATCTCCATATATCTCTGCATGCCTGTGTTATATATAATCTATTTCCAATATCCTACTATGGAAGAAGCACAAGCCGAGTAAAGAAAGACAGGACAGAATATAATAGACATGAGCTGTGGCCGATATTGTCGTAGGTTTGGCAGACCAAGCGAGCCGTCGCTTGTAGTCCGAGTGAGCCCGTTCAGCGGTAGCACAGGTTCTCTCTCTCTCAGAAGAAGAAGAAACTAAGTGGCTATTTATCCATTTTCCACCCTCAAAATTGTATCGACGAGTGGCTAAGCGTGTTGGTGTGTGGGGGGAAGCTGCCGTGGTCGCCATTCTCGGACCACCAGCAAGTCGACGGGCCGCCTCGACACTTTTCTTCGCCACTATGGTTAACCCAATTATTTACATGGACGGGGACCAGGTAGGTCATTTCTCGGATAATAGCTCAATATGCAGTAACTATAGGTCTCTGAACAGCTGAATATAAGCTACTTCCGTGTGCTTATACTCCAGCGCCATCTGTATGAAACTATGTTCTTACAGATTCCATCAGAGAAAATGTTCTTGCAAAACGAGTCAATCATTTTAAATATGAATATTTTTATGTATTAAGTACAGTTAGCTTCGTTCTCGAATCACAATCGGAAATCCTGGATTCCCTTCCTGGGCCAGACAGTTGGGCACGTTTCGTTTCACCTAATGCCGCTGTTCACCTAGCTGTAAATAGGTACTCAGTGGATAGTCAACAATTGTGGGGTTGCGTCCTAGGGAGGGTCAGTATTTCAACCTTGGGGGGGGGGGGAAGGGGTCACAATATAAGCCTTAAGTGTATATAATCCTGTAGTACAATCGGGTTCTTTCTCGGCTCACAATCGGTAATTCCCGGTTCGAATCCCGGGCGGGATAGAAATGGCTGGTCATGTTTCCTATCACCTAATAACCCTGTTCACCTAACAGTAAACAGTTACCCAGGTGTTAGTCAACTTGTTTGTGGGGGTTGCTTTCTGGGAGGGTCAGCAATTCTACCCTAAAGGGATTACACACAGAAATCACAATAGCTTGATGCATCAAATGAACAAATCCACAAGGGCCGTGACGAGGATTCGAACCTGCGTCCGAGTCATCCCAGACGCTGCCTTTATCGACTGAGCTACGACATGGTCAAAAGAGTTTTACTCTAAAGGGATCTCGATATAAGCACGTATTCACTGTCCACCGTCACCAATGACTTATATACAGGCATATCCTGTGTATATAACCAAATTTTCCTGAAATATTAAAATTTTCAAACATTTTCTCTTATGGAATGATACAGTTTTTCGTTGTATTATATATGATTGGGATTATTTTTAATCAAAACTAATATACAAATTTCAACCCATTCTCCCGATAAGACTGTACTTATTATAACTATGTGGACGATCGTACAAATATCGACGTTATGGACAGAATTTGGTAATATTCATTATACAGAAACCGGAAAAGAACCAAAACTAAAAACCAAACTTAAATATTCCCGTAGCCTAATATATATTATATAAATGTACTACTACTCTTCTCTCTCTCTCTCTCTCTCTCTCTCTCTCTCTCTCTCTCTCTCTCTCTCTCTCTCTCTCTCTCTCTCTCTCTCTCTCTCTCTCTCTCTCTCTCTCTCTCTCTCTCTCTCTCTCTCTCTCTCTCTCTCTCTCTCTCTCTCTCTCTCTCTCTCTCTCTCTTTCTCTCTCTCTCTCTCACTCTCACTCTCTCTCACTCACCACTCACCCTAGTATTAGCATCTACCCCTGATATTGCAGATCATGCGCATGGTGCTGAGCGCTGTGCCATACTTCCTCCTGTGCATGGTGTTCTGGATCTTCCTACGTCTGGCATGGCGGTGCATCACCTTCCCCATGGAGGAGCGGTACAAGATCAGGCAGCAAGAGGAGGAGGAGGAGGAGAAAAAGAAGAAGTAAACAAATATGGAGCAGGAAGGGGAGAATGGGATTGGGAAGAAGCAGAAGCTGTACAGAAAGTAGGAAGAGGAGGAGGAGGAGAAGAGAGAAGAGTGCGCAATGGAGAACAGGGAGGTGGAGGATTGGGTGGAGAGTTCGAAGAGAAGAAAGGTGGAGGAGACAACGGTAATAAGAAGAGGTGGAGAACAGTAACAGAAGATGTAAGAGGAGGAGAAAGATAAACTGGAAGAGGAATATAGGGAAACTTTACGAAAGAAAGCATGAAAGAGAAAAGAAATTTTGAGAAAATATGATAACTAATTAGAACAAATCAGGTAAAGGAAACTCGGTAAAGGAAGAGGACACGCAACATAAAGAAGCAGAATAAGCAACAAAGAAGTAAAAACTCGCCAAAATAACAAGAGACTAGAGAAAATAAAGAAAAAGTAGAACAAAATAATGAAATCAAGAGAAAGAGCTAACAAGAAAAAAAGAGAAGGGAAACAAAGATAAACAAAAATAACACGAAGGAACGTAGTGGTAAGCAACAACAACAACAAATGCGACAATTAAACAACAGAAACAAGGACAGCGATAATAATGTTGTCAACATAGACACAATACAACAGCTCCATCAATATGGACGACAACAGTGATTTATACAACAACAACAACAGTAGGGAGAACAAGAACAACAGTAGGGGAGAACAAGAAGAGAGAGAACACCATCAACAGCGAGAACAACAACAGAAGTGACATCAACAATAACAATAGCCATTAATTGAATCTTCTCAAGCTCACGTCATGGACTAAGCTCACCTCGTGGGCTCCTAGGCTCTCGTCATAGCCTCCTAGGCTCACGTCACAATCTCCTAAGCTCACGTCATGGCCTCCTAGGCTCACGTCATAATTTCTGGGCTCACGTCGTGGCCTCCTAGGCTCACGTCAATGCCTCCTATAGGCTCACGTCATAATCCCTGGGCTCACGTCATGGCCTCCTATAGGCTCACGTCATGGCCTCCTAGGCTCACGTCATGGCCTTCTAGGCTCGAATCATGGGCTCCTAGGCTCACGTCATAGCCTTCTAATCTCACGTCCTGGTCTCCCAAGCTCACGTTAGTCTTCACACACTTATGTATCGCTAATTTTGTCATATAAAAAGCAAATGCTGTCATACAGCAAGCACATGTCAGTCAGAAGGTAATGTTGACATATAGGAATGAAATGTCGTACAGGAAGTAAATGTTGTCGTACAGGAAGTAAATGTTGTCGTACAGGAAGTAAATGTTGCCGTACAGGAAGTAAATGTTGTCGTACAGGAAGTAAATGTTGTCGTACAGGAAGTAAATGTTGTCGTATAGGAGGTAAATGTTGTCGTACAGGAGGTAAATGTTGTCGTACAGGAGACCCCGTGGCGCAGTGGTAAGACATTCGCCCCGCGCTTCCCGAGCGATTTGGCCTGGGTTCAATCAGGGGAGGATTGACTAGGCGCCAGTTCTTAACTGTACGCCTCTGTTCACCTAGCAATGAATAGATACCTGGTTGTTAAACAATAAAAAAAGTAAATGTTGTCATGCAGGAGGTATATGCACAAAGAAATCACATTACCGTGATGTATCAATCAGTAGGAGCCATGAGGAGGATTCGAACCTATACACTGGGTTCTCCCAGGCAAACGCTCTCTAGACCACTACACCACGACACTGTAAAAGCATTGCAACCTGGGATTCAACTGAATCCTCTAGGGGTTTCCGAGGCTTCCACTGAACCCTCACCAGGTTTTCACACAATGCACTCTGGCTTGTAGTCGAGGAATACTACTTCCCGCACTTCTCTTCAAATGCACAAAGGAATCACATTTGAAAATGTGATTTTCAAATTTGATTTGAAAATCACATTTTCGCTATTTGAACACCATTTGAAATTCAGAAAATGGTGTCCTGCGGAAAGAAAATACCGTACGTGAAGAAAAACGTACACTGGGTAAGTCTTGTCGACAAAAGACATTGTACAGACAAAAATATTGTTGTAGTGACATAGAGTGTCATAAATGGATGAAATATTTCATTATCTAAGAAAACGTTGTCATGCAAGTAGAAGTCATATATTGTGACAGCCTAATCTAAACTCACTGGGGTTTGATACCCATCACACGATATCTAATTCCAGATAAATAGCCTTCAAAACACTGTGATCTCTAGTGAAACACATGTTCTGCATATTTCAAGATCTTATAATAGATGGAGCCGTCCAATAATAACCGCGAATTGTTCTAATTGAATGTCTTATAGGATTTTCTTAGGAAAAAATGTTACCTGAAGAATACAAACACAGGTGTCGGTCATAGTCATTATTATCGAGACTATAGCAAAGGTTCGAGGCACTTGAAGCTTTGTGAACGAATGAAGTCAATGTCTGGCCTCCTTTCTGATACATGTTTAATATCATATAACTCCTTCGTAGCTTCAAGTGTCGAGAATTGACGTCCTTTTTAATTCATGGAAGATTCCCGTTTCAGTCCGTTCAGGGCGAAACTAGACATGGCGAGATGGTACGAGATCAGGTGAGGAGCCAGCTGACAGGTCAGGGAAGTGAGGAGCCAGCTGACAGGTCAGGGAGATGAAGAGCCAGCTGACAGGTCAGGGAAGTGAGGAGCCAGCTGACAGGTCAGGGAGGTGAGGAGCCAGCTGACAGGTCAGGGAGGTGAGGAGCCAGCTGACAGGTCAGGGAGGTGAAGAGCCAGCTGACAGGTCAGGGAGGTGAAGAGCCAGCTGACAGGTCAGGGAAGTGAGGAGCCAGCTGACAGGTCAGGGAGGTGAGGAGCCAGCTGACAGGTCAGGGAGGTGAGGAGCCAGCTGACAGGTCAGGGAGGTGAAGAGCCAGCTGACAGGTCAGGGAGGTGAAGAGCCAGCTGACAGGTCAGGGAGATGAAGAGCCAGCTGACAGGTCAGGGAGGGGAGGAGCTATCAGACAAGTCAGATCATAGTGACGAAAAGACATCATCAGCGTCCAGGAGTGTACGAACGTCACAACCTCACGCACAACGTTGCTTGTATCGTCAGGTAACGCTCATAGTTGCCAACGCACTTCATTATTTGTTGTAAATATCGTTAGCTATAAGTGCTGGGAGGATAACTTGTTAAAGACTAACTATACCTAGAGTCCTTATAGACATTTTTGGGGGAGATGTAAGTCTTACGAACATTGAAAACATTTTGTATGGACAATCATTTACGAATTATCATTTTACAAAATATTTATAGTTTGTATTTGCATAAATAAAATTACATCAGTAATGGAGCAAAAAATTTGTTAGCGAATACACGAATAAAGAAGTTAATTAGAAGGAAATTAGAAATAATATCCGTTTTCTGTGATAGGCTGTCAGCTATCCTATGGAAGAATTTTGTATCCGCTCTGTGGAATATTGAACACATATATGACCAAATAATATTAATGGTTTTAAATTTCTCATAATTTTCATATATATTCCATGTGACAAATAAATAGATGACGTGGGTTGTAAATTGGTAAAAGACGCAGAAGGCAATATTTTTACAAGCTCTCTTGAAAAATATATATAGATAAACTATTAATGAAGTCTGTGAGTTAGCACTAATGCAATTGTGGTTTTTACAGGTTTAATGTAATAAATATTTTTTAGTAAGTTAAAGTTTGTTTACCCTATGCAGGAGAAAGGAGAGAGGGAGAGTAATAGGAGCCTAACCCGTAGGTGATTATAATCCTCGAGTTATTTCCCAACACCAAAATGCATTTGTGGCCATATTGCATTCCATGTATCCCATGTATTGCATTGCCCACAACCCATGCTCTGGGAAGGCATATTACATCTTCCCCATAACCCATGCCGTGGAAAGGCATTGCATCTGTTGCCCCTTGTGTACATTGGACTAATAACATAATAACATTGGACTATTAAAATAAGTCTTCTGGATACTGGTCGTTTCATAGAGCAGACGATTGTAACACAAATTTCCAAAAACAGGGGTTTTAGTGATAAACTTAACACCCATCATCCCATGGAAGGTTATTAAGGCAACACAATAGCCTACTGGTGGGAGCCTCATTTAAATTTCCCGCCGGCGGGTAGACTTTATCCGCCTCCAGGTTATATACCCGGCGGTGATTGGCTGACCCAGCCCCGGGGCAACACGGTGATTGGCTGATCCAGCCCCGGGACAACACGGTGATTGGCTGATCCAGCCCCGGGGCAACAGGGCGCCCGCCTAGCAGAGAAGACAGCCTCACCGAGCCCTACGGACACCCTGGGACTTCAATCACTGGACTTCGGGCTTATTATTTCATCTTGGTAGTATATTGGAACGACGCCACGTCGCTCCGGAGCCTATAGGACTGTTTCCACCACCACCTGAAGACTGCAAACTCAAGGTGAACCAATGTTATTTCGTAACCCTTATACCAGCTCGTGCAGGAGGGCCTCGATAACCCAACTCTTCTACAATACTGTATTACAGTCATATACAACCAAGACTAAAGTAAACTCATTGTATACACCGATAAGTGGGTTATACACCTCTCGATGTGTATACTTCTAAACTGATTTCTTCCTTAAACGTAGTGGTATGACGTGAAAATACAAGATACGAAAATATACATCTTAATGCATTACTGTATTGGTGTAATTGTCAACGGAAGAATCTATTGGCAATGTTGACGGATTTTTCATGCCGTTAACATTGTCAAAGGCAGTTTGCCTTTCATTACCAAAGGGTTAACGAAACGCAACTCTTTGCATATATATATATATATATATATATATATATATATATATATATATAATTGCAAATTGTGACGGTAACGCGTTGGTGTTCGGCTGTTTAAGGCTAGGGGTATGGCCTCGTCACATAGTTATAAAAAAAAATAGAAAAACTGGAACTTCGTCTGTGGTAAGGTAAGGAGAAGACACACAAAACACAAGTAAACTTTAACAATGAAATTTTAATTACGTTAAATAAATCAAAACATGAAAATATGGACAAACAAATATGTATAATAAAATCAATGAATCAAAATAATAAGAATACTTAAATGACACAATGAAAGTTACGTTAAGGCAAAATAACAAGAAGTGCAACACAAAAGTTAAGTGGGAGGTGCTGGAATATTGGCTTAAAGCCACCACCTCTCTCAGTACACGCTAACGTCTAGCTGGGAGGAGTGCTGGCTACGAAAGCACGGAACATTCTGAGGACTGATGTTGGGGCGACCCCAGACATCAGGTAGTATTGGGGGCGAGTGCAGGTGCAGCCAGACCGGCGACCAATCAGCGGAGCCGTAGCGATCAACGGGTAGTTTGGTGGTTGGAGTTCGAACAGGTGGCTGGTTGCATACGTTTCTGCTCACCCTGGCAAGCCTTGCTGGTGCTGGTGTTGTTGTCGTTGTTGGACATTTCTTCCATAGTCTTTTATATAATTGTGAAGACGTAATTTTGGAGGGAAGAGCAGGCTCAATCTCTTGAAGGAGATTATCGTCACAACTCTCCCCCGAAGCCTGCGGTTCTGGAAGAAGTACGTCGTTATGTGGTGGAGTAATGGATGGAGTCGCTTCTACTTCATAAACTCTGGAGAGATCATGGGCTAAGATGTTGTCAGACTCTTGGTATAGCGTGTCTCCAGGTTGAATTTCTGCAGGTAGCAAGCCCATAGTAGAAGACGTTGAGATGAGAAGTGGGCGTGCTGCAGGAGGTGTAGGGTGGTGTGGTCCGTATTGATGGTGGACCGAGCACTTTTCAGGTGTGGAGTGAAGTGCTGAAGCTTCAGGATGAGGAAGAGTAGCTCCTTGCCAATTGTTCCGTAGATCCTTGTAGCAGTAGTCGCTGACAGGTGTATTCTTCTCGCCTCGTTGCTGCATCACGACACCACCCACGTCGGTACCATTGGCGTCGACATGGAGGATGAAGGGCTTATCTGACGAGGTGAGAGTGGAATTAGAAGAGGGCATAGGAGCACGATTATTATCCTGAAAGCATTTGGGAAGATCATTAAGGATTTTGGAATTAGAAAGCGCCGACTCCTTGTCAGTGCTTTCGGGAGAAGAAGCCGGGATGGTCTCACTGTGGATGTAGGGTTCTGTGAATGTGGAATAGTTAATCAAGACAGTGGGAGGAGTACCATTATATTGCTTCAGGAGGTTGACGTGGCACAGCTGGGTCTTCCGCCGCCTATCTGGAGTCTCTATCACATAATTATTATTATTCCTGCACTCTTTGACGCAGTAGGGTCCTGAAAATCTGTTTTGTAAAGGTGAACCTGGGATAGGGAAATAAGCAAGGACGAAGTCTCCCGGCTTGAATTTTCTTACTTTGCTGGTCTGGTCGTAATGAGTCTTCATTCTCACCTGGGCTTTCAATAGATTATCATGGGCAAAGCGGTGGACTCTCTCTAGAATGTGCTGAAGGTTTTGAAGAAACTGGGGCACATTCTGATGCTCACTGAAGGTGGCATCTCTGAGAGAGTCTTTGAAAGCCTTAAGGGGAGTACGGCACTTACGGCCGTAGAGCATCTCATAAGGAGATACTCCTAGGGACTCATTGGGGAGACTTCTGAAAATACACATTATTAGGTCAATCTGCTTATCCCAATCCTTTGAGGTTTCACTACAAAACTTTTTCAAGAGTGCTTTGATGGTCTGATGACTACGTTCAAGAGAACCCTGTGAAGCAGGATGATAGGGGCTGGACAATACCTGTTTGATGTTGAACTCCTCCAGTGTCCTTTTGAAGAGATCACTGGTGAAGTTGGTGCCACAGTCACTTTGAATCTCCCTGGGAAATCCGTATTGAGTGAAGATCTTCAGTAGATGTTTGATAACCGTAGCAGCCGTGATGTTCTTCACTGGAACTGCTATGGGAAATCTGGTGGTAGGACACAGGATGGTTAGGATGTAGGCGTTACCTGAACTGGTCCGAGGTAAAGGACCAACACAGTCTATTATGAGTCTGTGGAAAGGTTCCGCAGGCACCTGTATGGGAATCAGTGGTGCTCTGGGAATGGAGACGTTCGGTTTGCCTGCCATCTGACATGTATGACACTGTTTTACGTACTGTTTGACGTTGTTTACCATACCTGGCCAGTAGTAGTCTTGACGAATCCCATGGTAAGTCTTGTTGAAGCCGTAGTGGGAGAATGCTCCGTGGGCCAGGTGTAGAATAGTGGGCCGCAGGCTGGTGGGAATCACAAGTTGTTCGGTGTTGGCCCAATCGTCCTCCTCCTTCAGTTTACTGGGTCTATATCTGCGGTAGAGCAAGTCGTTCTCTAGGAAGAACCCAGGAATACTGTCGGGTTGAGTCTCAGCCTGGAAAAACAATGGTGTTAAAGTAAGATCTTCCCTCTGCAACTTACGGAACTCCAACTTGGTCAGATGCGGGGGTAGTTTCTGAGGGTCTTGAGGGACAGCGGTAGCAGTAGAGTCAGCTGGCTGTGGACGTGCGGCTTGTGCACGGGTGGTCACGAGAACCGGAGGAGAAACTTCATCACTCTCTTGAACCTCTGCTGGAACATACTCAAGAATAGGGTTACTTGGCACAGAGTTACACACCTGGGGTTTGTCCATGACGATCAGGTTGGTCGGTTGCAGGTCTTCTGCCAAGTCGTTGCCTAGGAGAAGTTGCACTCCAGGCATGGGAAAAGGCTTTTCCCTGACGGCGACTTGGACTTCCCCGTTCACGTAGGGACAATCCAGGTGGACTCTGGCGAGAGGGTATGGAGTGGTAGCAGTGAGGTCAGTGATGAAGACTGTTTCCCCGGTGTAGACTATGTTGGGCACAGCCGACTTCAAGATGATCGATTGTAGAGCCGCTGTGTCCCTCAAGATCTTCAATTTGAAACGTCCCTCCGGATTTGAACCGTTGGCAGAGACAGTTCCAGTATACAGGTGGTTACTGAAAAGAGAAAGATCATTAACATCAACACCAACATTCATCACAGGCTTACCGGACTTAGGAGGAGTTGGTTTGGGTCGTTGTTGGTCAGTGGTTCCCTTGTATTGAGACTTACCACACTTGTCTATGGTATGTCCATAGAGTCTACAATACTTGCAGTACAGTTGTGAACCAGCTTGATCGGGGCTCACCTTCTCGTAACTGTACCACGACTTCTTACTGGAGGATGGTTCAGGTGTCAGCCGGTGGATGAGGCTGTAAGTGTCAGCCGACTTAGCACACTTCAGGTAGTCGGTTTCTTCTTTATCTGCTAAGTAGAGGCGGACAGGAGGCGGCACACGTCTCAAGAATTCTTCAACAAGCATCAGGTTGACGAGTTCTGTAAAAGTAGAGACATGTGCTGCTTCCAGCCATTTCATGAAATACCTCCGTTTCGTGTTAGCAAACTCGAGGAAGGTAGTGGTACTTGCCTTCAGGTGGTCACGGAATTTCCTTCTATAACTTTCAGTAGAGAGGAGGTAGGCGTCCAACACTGCTTGTTTCAGAGTGTAGTAGTCATTCTCAGACGCCAAAGTACTGAGTGTGACTGCAGCTCTACCTGTAAGATGGACTCTGAGAAGTGTGGCCCATTGGTCGACAGGCCAACTGAGTTGATTAGCAAGGGTTTCAAAGGTGGTAAAGAACACATCAACTTCTGCTTCTACAAAGGATGGCATTAACTTACTTGCATGTGATATATTAAAACT